ACACACTGAGACACACTGAGACAAACACTGAGACAGGACAAACACTGAGACAGGACAAACACTGAGACAGACACACACTGAGACAGGACACTGAGACAGAACACACACTGAAACAGAACAAACACTAAGACAGGACACACGTTGAGACAGGACACACGCTGAGACAGAACACACATTGAGACAGAACACACATTGAGACAGGACACACACTGAGACAGGACAAACACTGAGACAGAACACACACTGAGACAGAACACACACTGAAACAGAACAAACACTAAGACAGGACACACGCTGAGACAGGACACACGCTGAGACAGAACACACATTGAGACAGAACACACATTGAGACAGAACACACACTGAGACAGAACACACACTGAGATAGAACACACACTGAGACAGGACACACAATGAGACAGGACACACACTGAGACAGGACACACACTGAGAAAGAACACACGCTGAGACAGAACACACAATGAGACAGGACACACACTGAGACAGAACACACACTGAGACAGAACACACACTGAGACAGGACACACACTGAGACAGGACACACACTGAGACAGAACACACACTGAGACAGAACGCTGAGACAGAACAAACTCTGAGACAGGACACACACTGAGACAACACACAAGAACACTGGAAACTGACCGGCTTGCGTAGCTGCATCACGCTTCTCCGGAGGAAGGGTTTTAGCTGAGGCAGGAGTTTACAGTGTAGATCTGGGATGTCGTAGGCACCAGCCACTGCTGTGATGAACCCAACAGCTGCTTGTCTTACCCATGGTCCCTGGAGGTGATATTGCAGAAATAATAACACAGCAGACAATGATAATGTAGATTTTATCTAGATTGTTTTGTAGGTTATACAGAATGCTAACTGTATCCATAATGATAAAACAAGAATAATATAGATAAAAGGAAAACGTGATAATCCAATCAACCCACTACACACTACTTTATCAGGCCACGTTAGCAGAGTTGATAGGAGACTTGCTTTCAAATCTAGTCGCGACTCGCTACAGCTCACAGTCGGTGTTCAAAACCAGACGGTTTCCCGGGTTTACCTAGCCTCTAGGAAATGGGTACCTGAGTTGACACTCTGGGGTAAATGGAGGAATGTCGCTGTAGCTACGGAGTTACATGTGGATGGCGACACAGGCGGACAGTTTCTCATCAGCTGTCCGTACTGGTGGCAGAGCCCTTATAGTGGATAAAAGTGTGCAATGACGCTGGTTCACATCTCCCGACTTTACCTTTTCACCTTTTACACAACTACAAAACTAAGACAACTAATCTCATCTTATTACATTCACTCCCTCAAGCACCCATAGAAAAAGCATGAAAGGCAAACAGTGAGAGAGATAGTGAAATGGAAAGAGGTAAAGAGAAGGAAGATGAAGAAAAAATTTTTATAAAATACTATTGATTCTTGAGGAGCTGCAATGATGCAGCAGCTAAATGCTCACCTTCAGATCTGAAGGTCGGTGGTTCAGGTCCTAATGGAGCCAGAATTTTTTCAAAAATGTTTATGGCTCAGAGGTCGACCCAGCCTTAATTTCGTACCAGGTAAAGTTCTGGGAAGTAAAGGCAGCTGGCATGATGCTGATAACCAAGCAACGATTGGTCTATAAAATACAGGTCTAGCCGTGTTTGCCCAAAATGCCTGAAGGCTTAAAAAAGAGTCCTATAAAAATACTTACAGAAGATAACGTATAAAAATGGATAAATAACTTGCTACAAACATAGGCACTGTGAAACTTTGAATAAGATAGCTACAAATTTTCCTGACAGACATATCACAAAACAAAACACAACTTCAGCACTGAGGCTCCAACAAGTGACACAACTCACCGGATGGGCCAGAAGTGGAGTGGCCTCACAAACCAGAGTCTGCATCATGGTTTTAGTCAAAAGTCTGTGGGTGGTCAGCTGTTTTAGAGCATAGAGATCTTCCGCTATCACAAACTCCTCTGTATCACTCAGACCCTATCAGTTAAAAAAAAAAAATGTCACAATCAGTAACAACTGCAAAAACAAAGATGATCTAAAGTTATAACAAATTCACTAACAAAGTCGCCCACATGCTATTACAATGATAATAATAATAATGTCTGCAAATGATAACACTACTAAAGATGTCACAATTTATAACAAAACTATAATTAACAAATCAGACTTTAGACAAAGTAGGCTTTATTTCCTTTCAGCCATTAACTTTTTGAAAATTACCTGATATCCATTTTTTGAAACCTTGTGGACCCAAAGAGCTCTAAACCATGCCCAGAGAAAAATAAAACCTTACAAGCTACTTTGGAACTGAACCTTGAACCACGATGTTGATGAACATACACACTAAGTGATACATGGATACAGCCTCCGTTTGCCAGCATACAACCACAAAGCCCTCACCTGCTGTAATAAGGGAAGCAACACTTCGGAGCACTGCCAGCCGACGTACATTGTAACATCAACAACAGTCTTGAAGAAACAAGCTCGTAACCTCCAGTCATCCTGGGAAAAGCCAGCATAACAGTTACAACATTAGTGATAATAAATAAAAACAGTAATATAATTGCACATCCAGGGTATAATGGTAGCACTGTTCCTCCAACCTGCAGTTTCTTCAATATGCTTTGTTCCAAACATGTTACCTTTGCTTTGGAGTAAACAAGGCCGACAGAGACAGAGATCATGCTGCATGCATAACACATGATCACTCTAATACTTCCCACAGACTTTGCACTAGGAAGAGTGGAACTTAACCCCTAGCCTTAACTGGTTGCAATTCCCATTCCTCTCTATAACACAATACAGCTACCATCTGGCAAGGAAGAAAGGTGCCAACCAGCAGCAAAACCCGCTTCATTTGCAACTGCTGTGGGATTCTAAATGCCACTCTTAAATAATACCTCCTTTTCTCACCCTAAATGAGGTATGTACTCTCTGTGCCACTGATATATGGCAAGCTAGACGTTGTGAAGGCCCTTTGGGAGCAATGAAAGATGCAGAGGCACAGATATCATGGTCTGAAGAGAATGGTGCAGTTGGGAGTGACCAGAGGATCTGACCGGCACTCAAAACTTATGGAAAAGGTCAGGCAGACATACAATCCGACTGTTGGCAGTACCATCCGAATTAGAACTCTGTGCTTGCTGCTAAAATGAAGATGGAGCGTTTATTGGAATGTCCTGGGTGCTGTGATGACTGTTCTTGACTCTGCCATCTGGACTGACATCTAAATGCCAGGAATCCTTGCTTGGGTTTCTTAGGCCCATTTCTGGGGTCACATAGACTAGACCTACTGTCAAAGCATGAAGTAGAAGGTGACTAATTAAGACTGCTGAAATCAGAAGTGTTGGGTAGAAATGTGCAGATATCACAGCCTAGCTGTAAAAATCACAATACAAGGCTCCAACTGCCTCTACAAGGGTGAACAGAGAAGATGAAGAATGACAGCATGTCAAAGACAAGAGAACATTTACCTCCTTACCTTTACATTCAGGAAGGTCACGATGTGAGATAAAAGTATGTCATTTGCTGAAACAACAGAAATGAAAACTTGAAACATTAATGAGATTTAAACTTGGGACAAATTTCTCAAATTTTAATGCAAGAAATATATAGCTGTACATTTAGGATATTTTATGGTAAATTCTTAATTATCCACAAGCATCTAATAATAATAATAATTATATATATATATATATATATATATATATACACACACACACACACAAATCTTTATCAGACTTAATATATCTTTCTCTCAACACATATGCTCTCTCTCTCTCTCTCTCTCTCTCTCTCTCTCTCTCTCTCTCTCCCCACTTAATTCATTTACCTGAAGGCCAAAATCCAGTAATTTGGGAATAGCTGGGTGGGGGGTCCTATTAAAAAAAATTGTTTTACACAGGGCTCACAAACATTGCTGTCCTCCTGAACTTTGTACAAGTGAAAATGATACCAATGCAGTTAGTCAGGCTTCTCTGGACCAAGTCACTGTAGCGATGCCATTTAAACAGCATTTATAGCGGAATGGGACCCAAAGGGCTTTGTTATTGACTAAACTACAGCCAATTTCATTGTTCAGATAGAAATGTAGCTGGGTGGCCAGTTGCCTTTCTATACCCTTCCTTTCTATATAATTCTCTAAACCTGGAGAGAATGAGGTAGCAGGGTGTAACCAGAGGGTCTGGCCGGCTCACTACACTCAGAGGAAAGGCAAGACGGACATATAACCAGATTGTGACTGGTACCATCAGTATTAGAACTCTGCGCTGGCTGCTGAAGATGAGGACGGAGCACACATGGGAATGCCCCTAGTGCTGTGATGTCAATTCTTGACTCAACTCTCTAAACAATTATGAGGTTTGGTTGAAACCAGATCCACACTAGTCAGGGAAAATAACCCTGCCTGTGGTGGGGATTGTCTTCTTCTTCGAGTTCACTGGCTGTAAATTCTAGTAGAAAGTTCTAGACTTCTAGTCTTGATCCAGAACCTGAGTATTGTGTGCACATCCATTTTACAGACTTATTTGTATGCACCCCAATTGTATGCCACCAATTAGTCCACTCTTATGACACGCTTGTTCAGGAAACAGTGGGTCTAATCTTGTTGGGATTGAATCCCAACCACTGTTTTTACAAGCATCTAAATTAAACACCATAGCCAACGAGCTTCTAAACAAACATATACACATGTATAAATACTGTGGCACATGTTAAAATATAAAGTCAGATTTCTGTATTATGCTTTAACCAGATGTAAGATCATTCCTGGGGCTTTTAGAGAGTGGTATGAAAGTTGCACCCAGAAAGAAATTGAGGCAACACGTAATATTATAAGTTAGCAGTGGATACGTTGTAGCCGACCCTGATGTGGTAAAGGCACTTTTTTTATTCTTTTACATAAAGAAAATGTAAATGACAACCGAACATGGGTGACATGAGCTGCTGCACACCAAGGACAATTGCAGATCAAATATAGTGCATCACTGGCATGTCAAAGGGCAGAGTCCACTTTTTGTGATAACACACAACAAACAGTGTCTGGTATCACTCACCTTTCTGTCGGCCAAAGAAGAGACAGAGCTTGTCCATTCCATTGGCCATCAAGGTCATCTTGACTGCGTTGTTGGAGTCACTGAGCAGCTGGAAGATCTTCTGGTGGATGAGGTCCTTGAGCTGCTGGAGCTCCATGTCATAGTTCGACTCCACCTGATGGCAAGAAGCAAGCACAGACATACACACACAGACATCAGTGGTTATTTGTTTGATACTAGAGATGCAGAGGTACTGAACCACACAGGGTGGTGGAAGGACCACGGCTCATATTGGCCAAGATCTTATCTACACCTCGCAACGGCCATCACAGAAACAGGTTCCCAGCTGGCAGCCTGGCCAACTTAGACACGATTGACATTTTGGTTTTTTATCAATATCCTACCCCAGATGACGTCACAGGACAGTCCAACATTTTAGAGGGTGGTAAGACTGGGTTTCCTGGCTTTCTGATGCTTTTAACAATCCCAAAAGATCTAGAACTGGCCCTAACCCCAACCCACCTATGTCCCACGAGAGAGTCCAGTCTATGTCCCACGACTGCAAACAGCCCATCTACCACCCCCTGAAATATTAGACTGTCCTGTAACCTGTGAATTTTCCATGTTTGGGGTAAGATATTAATAAAGCACCTACATTTTTATTAAAGTGGGAGTGCATCTGCCTGACAGTAAAGGAACCAATAGACTGCTCACAATGGTGACATGATGCAGATGAATACGGCGACGTCATAATGATAGTTTAAAGATGGCCATTTGACTTATGACATGCACTAAAGAGGAGCAGTGTTTTGTTACCTGTTTTTGAAGCCTATAGAAATTAATCAATGAATAATGCATGGTGATGTATGCCTGTCAGTCAAGTAAGTGAAGAAGGAAGTTTCAAAACAATGCAACTGTTTACGACTGGATCAGGCACACTGAGTAGTGACCCCAGAGGCGACTGTAGCCACTGAGGCTTTGTACAGGGTTGACTGTGACTGATACTGCCACCATCTTGACATCAGTCAATGTTCAGCTCACCACATTATCTTTGTTGTGCTAGAGTACCGCAAAGTGTCTGCAAGGTGAGGGCCATGATAGCTTACTCCAGAATTGAAACAATGAAGCACTGATACTTGTCAAGAACTTTGCAGCGCTCTGAAAAAGAAGGTCATGATTTCCTATCAACTGTTAATGGGGACAAAATCTGGGTTCACTACTACGAGCCAGAAACAAAGACAGCGAGCAAGGAATGGTGCCATCCCTTTTCACCAAAACCAAAAAAGTTTTGCATGCAGCTATCTGCGGGTCAGGTTATGCTGCTGACTCTCGTTTAGGATGAACAAGGTATTATTTTAGAGCACTACAAGCCAAGAGGGAAAACTGTCATCAGTGACATATATACAGATCTTCTCAGGAATCATCTTCAACCGGCAATCAAATTCAAACAACATAGACTCCTGAGTGAAGGTGTTCTGTTGCAAGACGTTAATACTCAAACCCTTACTGCCTGTGCAAAGGCTGAAACTATAGAAGACCTCCACTTTCAGTGTGTACCACATCCCCTGTACTTACCAGACCTAGCCCCAAGTGATTTCCACCTGTTTGAACAACTTAAAAAAGACACTGGGAGAAAATTTTCAAAGAGGTACAGCAGGTGGTGCATGAGTGGTACATACGCAAGCAAGACAGTTTTTCTACAGGAATCCAAGCACTTTACTGACGCTGATGGTCACACATTGAATGCAGTGATGACTGCATTTAAAAAACTGATATAATTTGTTCTTTACTTTTTCAAAAACACATCTACAAAAACAAAACGATCAAACAAGCAAACAGAAAAGCCCCACACCCCCATAGTTCATGGTAATATGCTGCACTCATACATCTTACATGGAATGTATGTTATACTCCAGTTTCTCTGTGTGAGTTCCAGGGCCCCATTGTGGGAAAAACAAGAATAGACCCACTGCCTCCCCAACAGGCATGATGTAGGAGTCGACTAATTGGAGACTTCCTTCAAAGTGGCAGAGCATCAGCCCGAGTGGCAAGGAACAACCAACTGCACACAAATAAGCCAGTAAAACGGATATTCATGCAAAACTCAGGCCCTGGCACAAAGACAAAGTCCAAATGGAGGAACAACCCGGACTTTCCTCTGTAGCTTATAGCAGGCAAACAAAGAAGAAGGAGGAGGAGAAGAAGATACTCCAGTAAACATATTTGGCATAACTTATTTAAAAAAAACATAAAGTATACAAGGAAACTCACCTGTTGAATTTCAGGCTTCAGTTCTTCTGCACTTTTCTGGAAATAAAATCCATAAATAAATATTTCTGAGAATTTCATACTAACCAATATTAAATAATCTAAAGTACAAGGAATCGTATATAATTAACATATACATTTACTTCCACTCTTCCGTGTATGTAACCATTGCAGATATTCTCACATGAACATCGTCATAGCCCCAAACACCGCACATCACTGGGTCACCAGTTGCTGCTGACTATCTGATCAGTTCCTCCACCTCTGTCAGTCAGATGCAATATGCTTGATGTTTATGGTCTGTTCATTTAGCTAGATTCTGTATCCAGATCTTTCTTGGTCTGCATCGTCTCCTCTGCAGAGCCCTGTAATATCTTTTTATCACAAGCTTTTTGCAGTCCTCTGACAGAGACTTTTAGTTAATGCCAGCCAGCCATTTTATTTTCATGATGGGGGATGTTCCAATTTATTTCTGTATAATGACATAAATGTTAAATCAACTTGAAAGTAATACAGCATGGGTGTGGGTTCACTGTGGTAAAGTATTTAGCTGTTTGACTCAGGCCCTGAGAATCATGTGTGTTTAGTTTCAGACTGAGTTATTTACATCATGTGGCAGTTGTTGAGATATCGCTGAGTCATCACTGGAGAGAGAGGATCTAAAGAGAGAGACTGAGTCACATAGGACAAAACCTGATGTAATGAAATGGATGCTCTCAGTAAACAGTATGTATAACTAAGAAAATTTGGTTCCAACTATTGACTCTGACTCACCTTAATGTTGACAACAGTCTCAGAGATGGATGTTTTCTCTTTCTGCTGGTCCTTCAGCTGTACGATGACCTCACGGATTTCCTGGGCTTGGGCCATTTCCAGGTACCTGAAACGTATTATCTCTAGGGGTCAGTCAACAGTTACAACTAACCAGACAGGAATCTAATCAAAGAACTCAGAGTACATACATTTTTAAAAGTATAACACAATACACAAAATATACAACAGTTCTTTGAGAGCTTTTAGCCAAACTATTGTATTTCCTCATTATCTGAGGTAAAGTGATTTTGATCAGAGGTGCGAGGGAAAAGTTAAGTCAACTGTGCATTGTATAAGGAGTAACCATCAGGCATCAGCATGCATTTTCTGTGCTGGTTTAACAACCCTCAAATAACTAAAAAAAAAAAAAACAAACAGAATCATACAAGAAAAATTCAAAATTAAATAAATAATAGTGTTTGAGGAATAGTTTGGATTTCAGAAAAAAAAAAATAGTGGCCATAATTTGTCTAAAGATGCTGACTGAAAAATATACAGAAGTCCAGAAAAGTATTTATGCATGTTTCATACATTACAAGAAGACCTTTGATAGGGTACAACATGAAAAGCTTATTGCATGCCTTCAAAATGTAGGATTAGATGGAAAGGATATCAGAATTATTAGTAACCTATACTGGGAACCATTAGCAACAGTTAAGTCACAGCAACATTATCTCACCACAGTCAGGGATGTGCGTTATCCACAAGATTTGTCAGCTTATATAGAGAAAACATTTTTAAACAAGTTGAAGAACTGCCTGAGCTGATTATTAATGGAAGAACAATAAACAATCTGAGATATGCTCATGACACAATGTTAATATCAGAAATCCAGCAGGAGTTACAAGACCTAGTGGATCAAGTCAACAGGCAGAATCCAGAGTATGGTTTAGACATCAACATTCGAAAAACTATGGTAATTAAAAATGGAAAAGGGCGACCAACAGTGAACATCACAGTCAACGGAGAGATATTAGAACAAGTAACAAGTTTCTCCTATCTTGGACACATTGTAACAGATGATGGCAGAAGAGATAAACAAAACTTTAAAAATGAGATTCCTAAAATGTTATGTATACTCAACCCTGCTGCATGGTGCAGATACTTGGACAATGAACAAGCAATCAGAAAATCGAACTGAGTATCTCAAAATGTGGGTAAAAAGAAGAATAGGTCATATTTAATGGAGAGAAAGACAGTCCAATACAGGGGTTCTGGAAAGGTTATCAATGAAAAGAGAATTACTGAAATAAATTTTTTTTTTTAATAAAAAAAAGAGACAATTAAAATATTCTGGTGACATTAAAAAAGGTGACATGCTTTTAAAAAACCATACTGGAGGGAAAAGTCGAGGGCAAGACATCAAGAGGTTAACAATGTTACAAATGGAAAGACAACATCAAGAGATGGATGAACTGCAGTCTGACAAAGTGCACAACTAAGACAAGAGATAGAGAACGTGCTGGAGATCCACTTCAACCATCCTTCATTGTGGAGACTGCACCCGATTAACTGACTAAACGACTGTCATGCAAAACTTCTGCCACATGACCCCTTTGTGCACTTTGGATAATGGCCTATGCTGACCTAAACAGAGATATGGGGGACTTCAGAGAAGAATGGGGGGAGGGGGGGAGTATAATCTTGGAGCTACTGGCTCCCAGAGATGCAGTGTCCAGACTTCTGACACTTATCAACCCACCCCAAATGCATGGATGACAACATCTATAGAAAGCTCATTTGTACAATAAGCAATGTCCATAGACAGAGCCTACAAATGAATGACAAAGACTCCTATGCCGTTCGAAGAAGAGTCCTACTAAATGGCGAGAAAAGGTTCAGCTTGGCTACAGTCATCCCAAAGACAGGGCTGAGGTTTCTTTAGAAGCTGGAGTGCATCTTTCCGATAGGCGAGGAAACAACAGTTGCACAGATCTAGAAAACAGATGTACATGCAATCACTGAGATAAGAAACAAAGCCAAAGTCAAGAAATGTATGAACATCCAGCACTTTCCACCAGAGTTTACAGCCAGTGAACACAAACTTTTATTAAAGTACCAAATATTAACCAGCTTCTAGCAGAGAACCATGTACATAATATTTAGTAGGAATGAAGCATAGTTGTGTACTGTTTGCACCTGGCCATAACTGCTACTGTGCTGTCTCAATGGCTACAATGTAGCTTCACATATGAGTATATGCTACAGCACACTCAAATATTTACACGTATGTGCAATCATAAGTTCATAAACTCAAAACTTACTTCACAGCCGAGTCTGCCAGCTCAGCAATGTTTTCAGCAAATGTAATTCTCACCTGTAGAACCTCATCACTGAGTAGTGGTGACTGGAGAGACATTAGACGTAGAGTTAACATCCAAATATAACCAATCATTAAGTAACAGAGACTGGAGACCAGGCAGCAGCCTTTTTTGGTCCAGCGAGCCAAATTTAGAATGACCAACCAGGTTGCGGGCCATATGGAAACAAATGCATTATAAACACCCAGGCTTCCTCATGACATATTTGTGTGGGATAATCTAATGTTGATATTAGGATTGTTATGTTTTTGTGTGCTGCTACTTTGTCAGCTCAAGGGTCAGATTATATAGTGTTTTTATACATGCTTTGCTGGCCAGTAAAAATTGCCTGGTGACCCAGTTTTGGCCTGCTTTGCCCACGGCTGATATAGACATACGGTAAATATCTAAATATAATAAATCACTAAGTAATGGAAATTGGAGAGTAACATCAACGTACAGTTGATATGCCAATACAAGATAACAATTTAAAAAAACCCAGCAGTCTTTCCTCCACTAGCCCAATTCTTTATATAACTATTTATTCATTTACAGAACAGAAGTCTTCAAACACCCAAAAAGGATTATAAACATCACTAGTGAAGAGTGATGGTGACCATCTGGCCCATAAAATCATTTGGTCTGCCCTGCAAAGGGTCAGCTACCTTCCAGACTGACAACTGCACCTCCAATGAATTCTGACACAGATGATCTTCCATGCCATAATGTCAAACTTTTCCATCATCACAATGCACTCCAGTGTTCTCCTTTTCATGATGTGACCAAAAGAATGTAGATACTGCTGAACTGCTAAACATAAACTTTAGTTCATATTGCATATCAGGCTATCAGGATGCTAAAAATAGCAAGACAATGTTGTTTTGCTTATGGAAAATATCAGTAACTGTCAAATACAACAACCAGATGCCACAATGACAAACTAATGCTGTATGACTTGATGTGCTATGTTGTATGACAAAATCTTGATGAACTAACGTATGATAAAATCTTGATGAACTAATAATGTATGACAAAATCTTGAGGAACTAATATTGTTTGACAACATCTAATACAGTCGCAGGATCATCTTACCAGTGCTGGGATGATGTAGTCCTGAAAGACATTGGCATCACTGTCAAGGCAAAGGAAAATGGACACTCATATTACAATACAGATAGTATAAACACAGACGATATAGATCTAATCTACAGATATTTCTCAAACTGGCAAGAAATTTTGAGAAATGCCAAAAGATTTTCTTCCCCTTCTTCTGCTGTGAAAAGGTGACTAGCACATCACACTGTGAATTATAGCTAGGATGCAATATCTGTGCATTTTGGCTCAACACATCCGATTTGAGCACAACCCAAATTAGTTCCACTTTATGAAATGCTTGATAGTGGCCAGTTGGTCACACCCCCCCCCCCCCCCCCCCTTTTTTTTTTTACCCCAGTGAGGCCCTGGAACCAAAGCTGGGAGAAACATAAAAAAATAATATGTATATATATATATATATATATATATATATATATATATATATATATATATATATATATATATATATATTATATATATATATATATATATATATATATATATATATATATATATATATATATATATATATATATATATATATAAATGACTTTTGTATTACGCATGCTCAAATGGTCTTTTTGTCTGTAAAATGATAAATTTTATATTCACATGAAAGGTGAAATATTTTTAACCATTTTCTAGAGAGGTCTTGCTGGAACATTTAAAATTCTGTAGAGTATTTATTCAAACAGACTTGTAAAAATATCAGGAAGTACATGATACAAAATGCTCATAAATTTAAATACTGTAAGGTAGAGTTTAACAAGATGCAAAAGATTCTCACCAATAAGATGTTGCAGTGAGAATAAAAAGAGTGTTAAAGTGTTATGCAGGACCTGTGTTTTTATAAGGACAATGAGCAGACACACTGAAAAACATTTACTCGAGGCAGAGATGTCGTTTCTGAGAAGAATGCCTAGAAGGAATGAAAAACCAACAAAGCAGTCCTCATTGAGATAGACAGAAGTCATAAACATATTAGAACAATTAGATGTAGATAGTCAATATTTTTTGGACATAATAGGAGAAGGAATGGACACGAGAATTTATAACTCATGAGACTTAGGGAAAGAGAGCAAGATTAAGGTGAAGAGATAAACACCTGGATGGGCTGGCCAGACGGATGGGGGGGGGGGGTGACAAAAACATTGAACAGATGCATGATTCTGCTGATCGTGGGAGATAGTGAAACATGATAGCCTATACTTATGGGCATAGCATATGATGATGATGATGACTGTCCTCTCAACTGACATTTTAGTTCCTTCCATCAACTGTTCTCCTACACATTCTCCTCCTTTCAACTTCCAACCTATTAAATGTCTACCTCAACAATCTCGGGTCAGTTTTTCAAACTATCTTTCTCAACATGCTCCAGTTAATGATTCATCAACCTTCTAAACCTTAAAATCTCTTTGACTGCAAACTCATTCTATGTGTCACAGCATCCTAACCTTTCATCAATCACTTAGGAAATGTTTCTTACTTCACCCAGACAAAGTGTTTTTTAATACACTATTTATCCTTGACAAAATACCAAAAAAAGCTGTATTTACTGTCTGAATTTACTGGGGGGGGGAAGGAGGGAGGGGGGGGGGGGGGGTGCAGACAGTGACATAGCAAGACCAGGTGGTACCTGATGTGCAAATAATGTCTATCTACCCCCCTCCCCCATGATCTATCTATCTATCTATCTATCTATCTATCTATCTATCTATCTATCTATCTATCTATCTATCTATCTATCTATCTATCTATCTATCTATCTATCTATCTATCTATCTATCTGTCTGTCTGTCGTCTGTCTGTCTGTCTGTCTGTCTGTCTGTCTGTCTGTCTGTCTGTCTGTCTGTCTGTCTATCTATCTATCTATCTATATGTGTGTGTGTGTGTGTGTGTGTGTGTGTGTGTGTGTGTAAAACATCCATGTCCTCCCTCCCCCAATGATAACACCAGGGGCAGGTCGCATCCACCTTCCTATACCACTGTGTGTAGGGGTGGACTAGGTGGAGGTGTCAGTCTGGGGAGATTTGGGGCTGCCAGTGCAAAGTCGCCTCGGATTGCATAGGTTGGGATATGATTTTTATCCCTGACAGAAAAAATTCACAACTCCAAAGAGGATTTGAAACCAGGGTCTCCCGAATGAGAGAGCCCAGCATTCTTAACCACTCGGCCAGCCACTCCTCACAGTAAATAAATCAACGTTAAAAAAAGTCAAACACTCACTTCCTTGGGACAGTTTTCAAGTTTCTGATACAAGCTGTAACTACACGTATAGTTTCTGCCCTGACTTCAGGCAGCGTGTCCTGGGTAAAGTATAGCTGTGGACAAATGTATATGCTGGAATAACATATGAAAGGAAACATAACCAGGGCCAAGGGTAGTGTCTCTATTATCTGTATTTATCACTTCAGGGCCGTGGGGTCGATTTTCTCAGTATGATTCAAGTTTTCTAAATGCCACCTGCTTAATGTTGAAATTTTATTTTTATTCTGCAGGTTATGCCGTCCCCTTTCAGTGCTGCTTCTCTGTCTCACTGTACAACACGGTCCTGTATCACTTTTACAGTAGTATATAACATGGCGATCACGAGTCTGATAATTTAAGTCCATACGACTAGTGCAGTTGCCATAAACTGTGCATTAGGATTTTTTATTCCCGTGTGGGTTATGGGACCACCTTGTGATTTAACAAATAAAAAGACCCACCAGGTCTCCTTGTGATTAAAAAAAAATAGACCCACTGCGCCCGAACTGTTCTGGGATCTCCTTAACGCACGTACAGCATGTCTGTAGCACATTTTCAGAATCTTGTGGTGCCTGTCTACAATGTAAAGAGGGTGCTAAAATGTTACATATAACCTGTTTTGCTGTATGGCAGCCAATCTTGGAATGTCAGTGAACAAATTAAGAAGAATTTGGAAGCAACAGAGATGTGGTTTCTGAGACCAATGTTATGAATACCTTGGACGGCCAGAGTAACTAGCAAGGATTGCTTGAAATAAGATAATGAAAGTAGATCTCTATATACAACAGTAAAAAAGAGACAAACACTGTTCTTTGGCCCCATAATGAGAAGAGAGACATTGGAGAACATCATGACAACTGTAAAAGGGGTAGAGGCAGACCAAGAGAGATGATGATGGATAGGCTGAAAGGATGGCATGGAAGGATATCATCAAGACAGCTGTTCCAGGCAACCAGGGATCATGATCTGTGATGACGCATGAGCGCCTACGCCAGTTGGCAGGGCACATGATGATGATGATGTCTACACTGTTTTATTCATCTATTTTAAAAATCCCATTCTCTGCAACCCAAGACAAAAATAAATTAACACTGGGCCACTAGCTCAAAAATTAATGGCTAAAATAAATCTGTCAACAATCATTTTCTATGATTACACAAGAATCCAGAAATTAAAGCCGTTATTACCATATATGGTAAGATTCTATCCAGTATGATGTCTGAAGTCACATGATTGGACAGTCTCAGTAACAATTTCAGAGCAATGATGCGGAAGTTGCTAAACTGAAATCAAAAACAGAAAATGAACACATTGAAAACAAATATGCCAATTATTTTTTCTTGACATGTGTTCTAAGGGTACAACAGTAGCATGCATGATATCTGTTGTGAAATTCTGAGGCTTAATTTCCCATAGTTTTTTGATAAATAACATACTTCATATTTTCCAGAGACAAAAATCATGTTACACCATAGCAACTTTAGAGGAAAACACCCCTTTTCTTGTCTTTTTTTTTGGTACCACCACCACCATCATCATGATCAACATAATCATCATCATCAACATAATCGCACAGTAGGTCTCTGCAGATAAAGGCTCTTAGCATAGCCCTCTGATGACTCTCCATGTATTTTCAGTTAACCTGCCTTGTCTATTTTCAGGCCTACATTGCATTTATACCCTATGTGGCTGTCAACCAATGCTTTCTCTGCCATAAAGTTTCTAGGTTTAAGCTCCATTAGGAGATGAAAAGCAGAATACAAATTCTTCCTCCTTCATACACTCACCATATGTATAAGTCATAGGTACAATTTTTCTTTTTTTCCCCCTATCCATAAGAACCATAACAGTGTAGCGTCCAGACATTCCACCAGCTGGCCTGAAGGTTTTATGTTCAAAGCCACACTGAGGCAGATCAAAGGAAGTAAAGGTGGCCAGCTTGGTGCTGACCACATCACCCACTAAGGGCAGATCTGTTCACTTCTGAACTTTGGTCTAGATCCAGAAATTGAATTGTGCATGCACCCCCCTCCCCCGCTTTTCCCCCAACACACACAATAAGACCCCAGAACTTACACAGGGAATACAGGAAGAAGACCCAAACACTATATGGACTGTGTCTGAAGACACTAGTTGGTAGTCTCTGAGGTGGTCGGGGCTAACAAATATCAGTTTTATAATTTTGTACCAGGGTAAACAGGCAGGCAAGGAAATGATCATGCTGACAGGCTTGCAGGTTAAACTATTGTGGAGGACAGATGTACCATGGACCAGGCTGATATACTGAATGCTCTAGGTAAGACATTTATGAGAACCAAGTGAATCTGTGAATCTGCAACCATGATCAGACGGGATTTTAAAAAAAACCACAGCATGTTAAAAGGGGTGTGGCCAGAGCACTATAAAGGCAGCCAAAGAAGAATATGAAACCAACACAGGACTGGTGTCATCATCTGCTACACACTGCAGGGTTTACCAAGGAAGTGATCCAAGCACCTATAGACTGAATGTTGTAATGTGTAATGAGGATAATCTGTTGACTAGCTAACTGGTCTACAAAACTATGAGTCCAGCATCATATATCTGATGCATTACTTTCATAAACAGGATCCTTTGTAATTTTTAATAATGATTATTATGATTATTATACATCACCTTATCCATCTCTTCTCTCTCTCTCTCTCTCTCACACACTCACAAACAAACAAACAGTATTAAAAAACTCACATGAAGGTCCCTGACTACTGAAGTAACCAATGAAATGACTAGTACTAGTTTGGAATTTTTCTCTGGTCTCTCATCAACATCCATGCCAGCCAGGATGGTGTCCATGTCTCTGTTTAAACTGCTTGCAGAAAACAACTCATCAGCCGTGATACATGCATCATTCTTATCACATTTATTTGCAGTCTTACAATGAATAAAGTAATGTTTCTCTATTGTAACTGTTTCTTACAACGATTATTATAAATCTCACTGAAAAACATATGTGCACTCGACAGACTAACATAAATGCATTACTCTACTTACATGTAGTCTTAGTAGTAGTAATGGTGGTAGTAGTATTGGTGGTAAAATAGTAGTAGTGGTAGTGGTGGTTGTAGTACTGGTAGTGCTGGTAGTCAAAGTTTCGACTTCACTGCAAGTGGGTTGTCCCATAGTTACTCCGCTCCTATGCCAGTTTAAGTCACATGAAATGCCCCACATTACAGCATTTGACAACGAAAACAAACAATTAGCCCTGGCACAATCCAGAAACACACACATGCAGTAAATGCATGAGGCTGCTGCTATAGATTCCAACACCAACAGTCGCCATCAGATCTCAGTTTGTCGTGGATGGTGGTAAGCAGTCAGTTACAATGAGCTGGCATACATATGCAAAATTATTACACAAGGTATTTCGCCAGCACAAATGCAAACCAGCTGCCTACCCCTTTCTGAATATCAAGACATAATTGCTGTCAGCACAAACAAAAAGGCAGTGAAACCCTAGATTTCAGTCCATTTGGGAAAAGTGCATTAGCAAACCTCTAATAAAGCTAAAACAACTTTAAAGCTAAGCGGTCAACCTTGTCTATTGGCCATATTGGACAAGAAGTCAACTTCTGTGAATGCTCTAAATACTAACCTACATAAATAAACAAGCACTTTATTTACTTTGCAAAAGTAGTTTACATACTCTACATACAAACACAAGTACCAAACAGACAAGCCCAAACACCTTGGACACACACAGACTTACATGAGCACCCAATCATCTGAAGGCATCACTGGGAGCGTGGCAAACTGCTGGGCATAACTTTTGAAGAATGTGTAGAAATATTCTGGGAATGCTTTTCCTCTCTGTTTAATGAGGTACTCTTCGGCTGAGAGTCGAATTTCTGGCTTCCGTTGTGTCATATGCTCAACTAGATCCTGGGGGTAGGTGAAATATAGCAGTGAAAGTCTCCATTCATTAATCTTCATGAAATTACAGTATAAGCTGTGGGGAGTATTTAATATCCTATAATATGAAAGAACAAACAGTTTAGCCAACAGCAAGTAAGGAAACTAATAAATATACAGAAACTATAACTTGAAAAAGATGTCTTTTTCTTTCATGTCATTCATCCAATCATTCTGAGACATAATTACTGGTACTTGCTTATTGATTTATGAATCAACAATATAGCACACAGGGCATACTCACAGATGCTCCAACTCCCACAGCAAATGTCTTAAGGTGTAGATGCTAACTGTTTCCGTAGCATACTGATTATACACACATTGTTCTCTTCCGCTCATATGTCCCTCCCTGCCATATCCACACCTAATTCCTCGTTTACACATTCTTACATATATTAATTCATCTAATCTTATGTCTTCTGTCAACACTTGTTCATACATGGTCTTCAGAATATCTCCCTTTTCCAGTACGAGTGTTGCCGTAGCTTTTGCTTTTGTTGCCAGAAAATCCGCTCTTTCATTCCCTCGCACCCCTGCATATTCCGGACAGTATATCCATGTGATTCCCTGCAATGCTGGTATCCACTCAAGCCACAGTAGTCTATTTTGAACCTTCCACATTACCGACTGAGAATGAGGCACAATAATTCCTTTGCTAACTTTGTTTTCTGTTATCCAAATCAGAGCTGGAGTGACTGCCTCCACCAACCTCCTCATGCTTGAAGTTAAAGATTTAAAAAAAAAATTGTTTTTTTCTTCTGCCACTTTTCCTTCATTCTAGCTGAAAATCCCCAGCCAGATCTTATACACTGATGAACAGAACTACAGGGGTACACTATTGCATCCAAAACAAGTAACTTCTTCAGGAATTTGTTACTCAGATTAGCCTTCTGGGGACTATATCAATTTAAAACTGAGACACTCTCTCAAGAAGTCAATGAAAATCATAAACTAATGAGAGAACTGCTGTAATTATGTCATTATTACGGTTAAATAATTAGGTCTTGAACTGAAAAAATTAATTAAACATGATATTTTAAGATGGTTTTGTAATAAGAAGAGTAATTACCTTGATGTTATTGTCAGGTATTGTGTCAATCAGCTTCCAGGGACTGTAGTTCTTACTGCTGTAGTTGAGCAGCTGGGACAGGTCAAAGGGCGGGGTCCCATCACAGAAGAGCTCTATAATTACACATCTGCAGGTGAGAGAGTCACAATTGTAGTACCCTCTAGCTAACTTCAATGTGTTTTTGTTCTTATTCTTTTTCTGTTGGTACCTTTCCAGATGACTGTGCTATAGTGTGGTGAACAGAGCCTTGGGAAACACACACAGCCCATGGCAACAACAACTGTCTCTAGGAGGACAATTTTATTATTACCAAAATAAGGGCCAAAGTCCAGGTTCATTAAACATTTGGAATCTCACTCAACCGAAACCACAGTGTGTAAATGCTGTCTGTAATGCACTTTAGTTATACACACATGCACTACACTTAAAAAAGGTGGATTGAATAAAATATGTTCACAGCGAAATTGGAGTATGTCATGACCATGAGATTTGTGGAAGGGAACAGAGGTAGAGGGAGGTGAAGAGAGAAGATGTTGGACAGTCTGCCATCATGGTATGGTAAAACATCTGTATCAGAAATTACTGAAAAGACTTGAGATAGAAGGTTGTGGACAGACATGATTACCAATAATGCATGGCTTGAATTAGAAGAAAAGGAAATAGGAGAAGCAGGAGACTGAAGAAGAATAAGAAGCAGCAGAAGAAGAGGAGGAGGAAGAAGCAGCTGCAGCAGCAGAAGAAGAATGAGATGAATGAGGAGGGGTAGAAGAGGAAGAAAACGAAGCAGCAGTAGAAGAAGAAAGGAGGAGGAGTTAGCAGCTGCAGAAGCAGCAGAAGAAAAGGAGGAGGAAGTCGCTGCAGTAGAAGAAGAAGGAGAAGAAGAAAAAAATAAAAAGGAGGATGAGGAGAAGAAGAAGAAAAAAAAAACCTATGGTAAATAAAGGAACCTAACCCAAGACATTCACAGCTGCAGTTGGACATGCTGCCAGACAAAAAAAAAAAAAACCTTTGAAACAATAGTCCGGAGTGATATGAATGTTGTATTACCCAGCAGAGAAAATGTCCATGGCTGGCGTCAGCTCCTTGTAGACCTTCTGTGCATGCGAATCCTCCAGTCCACTCCCATTATCTGAGTGTCCATTAGAGGGAGGCCGTCCAGTGAACCTTTCAGGGGCAATGTAACAGACCCGACGTCTTGATGTGTCAAAGAAGTAGGAGAAGTCGGCAGGATTGTCCTGGGGAACAGAAACTAAGTCAGAAGCATATATACAAAAATCAGGAAGTGTCTTCCTACCAGCGCCAATAACCGGGATATTTCACAAAGAATACCAGTGCTGCATGCTATCCTCTAGCCCAAAGGTCATGTGTTCGAAACCGCACCCAGTCAGATTTTTTACAAAAATGTCCTTGGTTCCCAGGTCAACCCAGCCTAAAATTGGTACCATATAAAGTCATGGGAAGTAAAGGTGGCCAGCTAGATGCTGAACCCATCAGCCACAAATGTCTATAAAAAAAAGAGTTTAGCATCATATGCCTGACGCGCCACTGGCGTGATAAGGGTCCTTTACTTACTCTTTTTTTTTTAAACCCAGTGTCGTACTGACTTAAATCAACATTTTCAACATTTGCAGTGAGACAAGATTTAGAAACATTTAATATCTTGATAGAGTTGAAGCTTAAAGTAAAAATATATATAACATGCTGATGATAAAGCTGTAATAACAGAGTCAAATAAATAAGACAAAACGTGATTTGAATACTTACATACGGAAGTGACACCGGTTTGAAACTTGCAAAGTCCGTCAGTGTCACCCAGATCCATCCAGTGATGAGGATATTTTCAGCTTTAATATCACCATGGCAAACCTGCTCAAGAAATGGTAATGTGTTTTCATTACTCTGGCTTACTAAAACTCATACGCTCTGTGTGTGTCCCTAACATACCCTGTTAACTAAATACACTCTGATATAACAACTACTCAGTGGTAAGCTAGTTTGCACTAAACAGTTCTAGGCTATTAAAATATAAAATTACATCTGTGGCTGACAACTTTATATATTATTAAACATACAGAACATTATACTGTCTATGCTACCAGTGCCAGACTAGTACATTATCAAAGGTTAACCTATGTAAAATTAATATCTGAGAAATGAGATGCCTGAGAAAGACTGCCAACTTAACAATCCAAGACAAAGTCAGAAATATTATCAGACAGACAGTAGGAACAACATCAGGCAGCAAATTCATTGAGAAACAGAAGATCAAATGGTTTGGTCATTTAGTAAGAATGCAGCCACAACAACTACCAATGCAGGCACTACACATGAAAAGATCTGAAGAGAAAGCAAGAGACTGCCCTATGAGAATGTTGACTAATGAAATTAAAGAGCTTCTACATCAACAGAGAATGACAATCATTGTCCATCAAGCAATGGATTGCAAACTGTTCCTCCCCACAATGCTTAACAGCAGAAGTGGAATTTAATGATGATGATGATGACATTCTTCTTCTTCTTCTTTCGTAAGCTTGAAATAGATTATCTATAACTGCAATGTTGTCTCTAGTATGAACTTCACTGTCTTTTGTAATTCATTCAACGACCCGTAAAGTTTGGCTTGCACCAGTGTTTCTTTTGGTCAAATGTTTTGCCTTGATGTGCTGTATTTGGGACAGTCTTGGAAGACGTGATCTGTTGTCTCAGATCTTAAATCCACATGTGCACACGGCTGATTCGCCGATTTTAAATTGTGTGTACATGTGACTGTGTCTTGTTCTAAGGCGTAGAATAATAATTTGCTCTGGTCTGTCCATAATATGGTAATCGTCATGTGCTGGTTTTGATTGCTTTCTGATTGATTTGATTTGTCTCTTCTTCTGTTGATAAGAGATGATGACATAATGCTGTACTCCAAACATTCACCTTCTTTTCACAATCAGTCAAACAGTACGACATGATACCGTACTCCAAACATTAATCTTCTGTTCACAATCAGTCAAACAGTATGACATAATACAGTACTCCAAACATTCATCTTCTATTCATAATCAGTCAAACAGTTACATGACAGTATTACTATTTGGTTAGCTGGTAAAAGGCTGGCTGAATAGCATGAAAAACCTATGGCATTGCATCTGCAAGCGAGTTAAAATAAACATTTTGAGATCATGTAATTTTTTCCCTGGCAATTATGGATGTGAGCCGTGGACTCATCAGAGCTTCTGAACTGAAATGCTACAGAAAATTCTTAGAATACTGTGGACCAAGAAGAAAAACACAGACATCCTGCATGATGTGAATATCGAGAACTGGCTCATAAACAGCATCCCATCTGGAAAACTAAGGTATTTTGGCAATATTAAGTTCATGGTGGCCTAGAGCCAACAGTGATGGGGCTTGCAGTTTTCAGAAAATGAGGCAAAGGCTGACCTCCAAGAAGGTGATACAAGATACTGAAGATGCATTGGCTATGAAAGCACATAGGGCTGGAGGCTTTCAGGTGTGCCATGAAGGGAGCAACATTCTGTAAAGGACGTGCTGATTAATGATGAGTAAAAGGTACTGTTACTCATCATTAATCAGCACGTCCTTTTCTTAAATGGTATGATAGAATAACTAATGTAGAACTTTGGGAGAGAACTAAACAGGCTCCAGTGGACCAAGAGGTGAGGGAAAGATGCTGGCATTGGATAGGACACACACTGAGAAAACAGGAAAATAGCATAACTAGAACGTCTTTGCATTGGAATCCACAGGGGCATAGGAATAAAGGAAGGCCCCAAAAAAAACACAGAGAAGAGAGCTGGAGAATGAAGTTAGAAAGATGGGGAGGACATGGGGAGAGTTTCATGCAGTGGCGAAGGATAGAACGACTTGGCGTGAGTTGGTTGAGGGCCTATGCTCCATTGGGGGATAGAAAGGCAGAAGAAGAAGAGAAGAAGAAAAGGTACTGTTCCATACCCATCTGTCACAGAAAAGTATGTGTTTAATTTCACAAAAGCTGCAGGATAATTCTCACCTGAACTTTATGGCACTGGTTCAGGGCACAAAGTAGCTGAAATGCTATCCACTTCTTCTCGATAAGCGTGAGGAATGGGCGGGTACTCAATCTGTCATACAAGCTGTACTTGACATACTGACGGATCAGGAAAGCAGCTCTGTCCAGTTTCTAGATAAAACAATATATCATCCATCATCAAAAAACCAACACTAGTGTGCCAGAAACTGCACATATAATAACGAATACATTAGGCAGATATGTTACACAAATTCAAGACATGTGAACTTACATGCTACAGAAACTTGAGGTGTGAGTTATGGGGTTTAACTGAAAAGGTGGTTGGGGTGGGGGTGGGGGTGAAAGAAGCCCGCTGCCCCTTAACAAGCATGACATAAAAGGCAACTAGTTAGGTTGTAATAGCTGAACCTTTCAGCCAAATACATCTAATTTCAGTACAGTATTTGCCATTTAAGGCACGCTTGTTAGGTGACAGTGCCCCCCCCCCCCTTCCTCCCCCCAATGGAAAACCTAGAACCTGTATGGGGAAAATTATGAAACTAACAGTTTTGAAAACAAGAATGTCGCCTGTTTCCCACCATCATCTCAGAAAGCTAGGTATTTGATCTCACTAACCAAGAGATCAAGTATGTGTGTGTGAATATGAATGTGTGTGCATGCGTGTGAGGTATAAGAACCAATGATTCTCGGGAAAAAATCTACAGCCCTGAGTTAGAATCTGAACCATGAACTTCTCATCTTGAACCAGAGAGTACAATAGCTTAGCAAGAACATCTTCAATTAACTGTACTATAGTTCACTTACTAAATGACTCTGGAATGGTAGGCAGTTGGGTAGATTTTTTAAGCTCTTGAAAATAACTGTGGAATACAACAGAAGAACAATCAGGCATGTACAACAGCCAATTAATCAAGAAATAAACTAACACAAGAATGTCATCACAGCATCAGTGGTAAGGTGAGCTCTTTATTCTCACCATATTCTTTTCCTGTTCAGCACAGCCACTGTAGCAGAGTGGTCAGTGCATCTGTGTACCACCCTGGTGGTCGGGGCTCAAACTTCGTTAATGGTAGAACTTTTACTTGTCTGTATAGTTTTAAGGGTGTTCCAGTCTTGTTAAATGGGTACCAGATCTGTTCTTCTCTCTTTAGCATTCACCAGCTGTAAACTCTGGTTGTGGATGTTTATCCACTTCTGGACTTTGGACTTGTTCTTGAACTTGAATTTTATGTGCACATCCGTTGACAGGTATGTCATATTTGTATTCAGACTGCTGGTTCCTTGACTAACAGGCAAATGCACTCCGACTTCAAAAAACATGCCAAATTAGTTACCTCCTTCTAAGTGCTTGCTAAGTCTGCGTAAGTATAATAATCTTTACTCTCCAAAATTGGTTCATGGAACCCACAAGGGAAGGTACCAGATAATTTTCAGGTTTCTAAAACTGCCTGTGAAGTAATGAAAGCAAGGAAGAGTACTGACCATCTCCCCTCATCATGTCATACCCTACTACCTACCCTACTATGCCCTAGTAGGTGAAAGCAATCTCCGCAAAATCTGTTCAGCCTACTTCTCAAGCCCCAGGGCTTGATGCTATGATTCTTCCTCTAAAAATAAAAAAAATAAAAAATGCCGAACATTTTAACTTATGGTACTATATCGGACATGCTGTTAACCTAACAAGTTTTTTTGGTTTTTTTCACGATCAAACAAAACCAGAAACCCATTTTATACCAGCCTGATTATTTTGCTGCTTGTCACCCCTCAGCTAAGCACTGTCCCTTAACCAACACACATGAAACCTTCTACTGCAATGTATTTATGTATGGCCTGATTTTGCTGCAAATATACGAATGAGGTGACTGCAGTCAAGTTTTACAAATTCATAGAGCTGTCCAGGTAAGTACAGCGGTATCTAGAAATTTGAACACAAATCCGTTCCCAGATGGTATTTAAATTCCAAATCATTAGAGTTCCAATGCAATCTTTCCCACTGAAAACATTGGAAACTTAATTAATATGTTTCAGGGTCCAACAAACTCAAATTTTAAAATATATTTTTTTAAATACAGTACACTGTAAATATGGTGATCATATTTGGAAAAAAAATACAAATGAATAAAAATAAAGACATAAGAACATTGTATTTACTACAACTTGATCAAAATAGTTACAAGCACATATAAGTAGGAGGAGGAAGGAAAACTGAGGGACAGTAAAGTTTGGAAGGTGAGTCATCTTCAACGATAATATCAGGAATCCCATCTGGTGTTTCATATCGTAGTTGTTCCCCACTTGTAGAGTTTGTTGATAGCCAGCGTTTGAAAGTTCTCTGGTGTTGGCATTTTAAATTTTTTTAGATGTCAGATAATGTTATCACTGAATAAGTTAACACACCTTTTTACCAGGGCCCTACCAGAGTGCCACCTCTCAAAAACTCCTTGCATTTTCGACCAAATGTGTCAAATTATCTTGGATTTCAGCAGTGCTAATCCTTCCAGTTTCTGCCATTTTCTCCTCAGAAGAAATTGTTTCCTTCTGCTGCTGGTGAAAGTGCTGAAGCTTTTGCATTATCAGTTTAGCTGCATGACTGACACAAGCCATGTGTTCAATTAACTTGAAAATTTAATTTAGATTCCAAATTATTTGAGTTTTGAGGTATTCAAATTCCGAGGTACACTGTAATAACATACTTTATATAATTCTGTCATTTATTATTATTATTTTGTTTCATTTGTTTACATAATACCTAAATACCTAAAGTAGTAATTTGAGAGTTCATTTGTTGTGTTGTGTTTTGTTTTCTTGTCACTGTTCTGCTAAAGAAGGCTAATCACAGAAGAGTCCTTTGTTTGTCTAATGTAACTGATCTTGTAGAGCTGACATATCATTTCTTATGATCTGCAGCTACAAGATGGATTTTACAACACACAAGGTAGGTGAAAGAGTTAACACTCTTTGTTTCCTGCACGGGCCCTGGTAAAAAACTGGCATCAGTGACAGATGAAAGGGTTGAAATTCAACATACCATCCAAGCGATCTTGGTGCTCCTTTAGTGGAAGGGGTACGGTTGGATCTTGTATAACAAAGATTCGTACAACAACCAAACCCTCCTTGTACCTGGCACGAGCAACCTTGAAAAAACGGGTACTGCCCAAGCTGAGGAGGAAGAGGTTCAAGTTAGCAAGAACAATCATCCCAGCTTTTAAAATTCATGTATCCTCATGTGGGTTCCGGGGCCCCATTGTGATGAAAACAAGAATAGACCCACTGCCTCCCAAACAAGCATGCTGTAAGAGCCGACCAACTTGGGGGTTTCTTTCGATGTCGGAGTGCATCTGCCTGAGAGGCAAGGAACCAACAGTCTGCATACAGATAAGTCAGATCTGTGAAGCGGATGTGCATGCAACACTCAGGTTTTGGAATAAGTCCACAGGTGGATGAACAACCAGAACTTTCTGCCGGAGTTTACAGCCTGTGAATGTGAAGAAGAAGATTCTTCAGGTCTCCCATGTGGGTTTTGGAGCCCCATTGTGGGGGGGGGGGGGGGGTGTGGGGGGGGGGTAAGAGAGACCCATTGCTCCCTAACAAGCATGTTGTTAAAGGTAACTACTTAAAGGTTTACTACTACTTCTTCTTCCTAGCGTTCACTTGCTGTAAAAACGGGCAGAAAGTTCTGGTGTGTCATCCACTTTTGGGCTTCAGTCTTATTCAAAAAAGTGAATCTTGCATGGACATCCATTGTACAGATCTGGCTTACTTGTTTGTATGCAGACAATTGATTTCTCGCTGCTCAGGCAAATGTAATCTGGCTTCTAAGGAAAAAAAGCTGCAGATGGGAACTTAGCGCTTATGGGGGTGTCCCGAGTGCTGTGATGTCGATTCTTAATTCATTATTCAACAACATTCGGAGGAAAATTCCTAATTGGTCACCTTTTATGACATGCTTGCTAAGGGGGCGGAAAAGGGGGGGGGGGATTATTTGTCCTCTAACATGGGGCCCAGTACGTACACGGGGAAGAGGTTTTCTAAAATTGGATGGGTTGTGCTGAAACCCACAGATATCACAGCCTATCTGTAAACCACAATACAATGTACTAACTGCCCTTTTAAGTGTTCACATAAGAAGATATTCACATGTAAGCTAGGCTGATGCCTAATCAGTGACTGTGTCTTAGGGGAAACAAGACTTGTCTCAGTTAAGCTGCAAGCATTTTGACAGCAGACTGCTTTGCACTGATTTTAACAAATGTCTGGAGAGGCAACTGATCAGAAAGCAATGGTTAATTATTGGACATAAAACTGCCTAGCAAAATCACAGACAGCCAACAAATGATGGGGTTGGTTTGCCATGTTTTATAAAGACACATACCTATATATTTTTTTTAAAATTAAATATGCACCTTGCCTTTAATGAACAAACAGCACAACTAACTTTTTTTAAGTATATACCTTACTTTTAAATGAGTAAAGGATACCCAACAAACTTTTTATAAAATATATACTTTGCCTTAAATGAGTAAAGGATACCCAACTAACTTTTTTAAATATATACCTTGCATTAAATGAGTAAAGGATACCCAACTAACTTTTTAAAATCTATACCTTGCCTTAAATGAGTAAAGGATACCCAACTAACTTTTTAAAATCTATACCTTGCCTTAAATGAGTAAAGGATACCCAACTAACTTTTTAAAATCTATACCTTGCCTTAAATGAGTAAACGATACCCAACTAACTTTATAAAATCGATACCTTGCCTTAAATGAGTAAAGGATACCCAACTAACTATTTAAAATCTATACCTAGCCTTAAATGAGTAAAAGATTCCCAACTAACTTTTTAAAATCTATACCTTGCCTTAAATGAGTAAAGGATACCCAACTAACTTTTTAAAATCTATACCTAGCCTTAAATGAGTAAAGGATTCCTAACTAACTTTTTAAAATCTATACTTAGCCTTAAATGAGTAAAGGATTCCCAACTAACTAACTAAAGGACCCGGCACACAGCCAAAGTCTAAAAGAATAAACAACCAGGACTTTCCGCCACAGTTTCAGCTGGTGAACAAAGAAGATTTCTCATTTTAGTGCCTGTTTGGGGATTTTCTGCTGATTTCTTTGCAGGATGTATCTAATATAATCTAATCTAATATTATCTTATAACTGGTGATACCAATATATAACTGTTGTTTGACAAGGCATTTCTCTTATTTCTTCATCCAACTTGAACTCATCCCATTTTATGTTCAACATTATCCTTAGGCACTTGCTTTCACCTCTAAGGCTTACAAATAATTTCTCACTAATTAACTGGCTGTCAATTTTTCACATCTATACATCTGAAGTGGCTCTATGTATTTCTAAAAAAAAAAAAAAAAACTGTTCTTCACATTTGAATTGACAAACATGTCATAATCATCATGTAGCAAGTCCTTTACAGACTGTCACTATCATCACAATCTACCTGAAAGAAATTTTCTCACCAGCTCTCCTGCCTCGTGCACTTTCCTAACCAAGAGTTGCTTATATCCTGTGCCCACCTTCATGTTGGTTGACCCCTGGCCCTCTTTCCTGGTACCATACCTTTTGCCACTATTCGTTCTAATATGACAAACATGTATTTCATAGAATATTCTTCTCCTCCTTCTTTTCTCTAAAAGCAGTTCAACCTTTCACCATGAAATTTTGAAGAGGCATTTGGTGTGAGCCTTTGTGTGTTGTACATCATCATCATCATGTGCCCTACCAACTGGCGTAGGCGCTCATGCGTCTCCACAGATCACGATTCCTGGATGCCTGGAACAGTTCTCTTGATGATATTCCGCCATGCCATCGTTTCAGCCCATCTAGCATCATCTCTCTTGATCTGCCCCTACCTCTTTTCCCACTGATCTTTCCAGTTGTCGCAATGTTCTCCAATGTCTCTCTTCTGATTATGTGGCCAAAGAACAGTGTTTGTCTCTTTCTTATTGTTGTATATAGAGATCTACTTTCATTAGCTTGTTTCAAACAATCATTGTTAGTTACTCTGGTCGTCCAAGGTATTCGTAACATTTGTTTCAGAAACCACATCTCTGTTGCTACCAAACTCTTAATTTGTTGACTGACATTCCAAGATTCACTGCCATACAGCATAACAGGTTCTATGTAACATTCTGAAATGCAGCTTTTGATTGACCTATTCTGCTTTTACATCTGATGATATGATTGTTCCCAGATATTTGAATTTATTGACTTGTGTTGTACATAGATGCTGGTATTCCTAGGCTCAGATGTTGCATCTATCACTTGTCTGGGCAACCTCAAATTCGGCTTCCAATGTGTATATGCGACATCCACATCCTGTCAAATGATGCTTTTGCTTAAGATACTCTACATCAGAAGTGGGCAAAGTATGGCTTGCCAAGCAAATTTTTTTTTTTAACTGGCCAGTGAGGCTGGTGTAAAACTACTATATAATCTGACCCTTCAGCTCATAAAATAGCAGAATCCAAAAACATATGTTCATATGCAAAAAGGAAAAAAAAAACACTATCAAAATATCAACACCCCAAAAAAAAAAGTGATAACTTAAACATAGATAACCAGACATAATATCACAAAATTTTGATCCTGTTAGTGAAACACATGCTAGGACAAACTCAGACATTAGGAGGCAGTGTCTGTCTGCTTACTCTCATAATAAAATATAAGGGAATGACCGTTCTTTTTCTCTGAACAAACACATTTAGGAATATATAGAGGCTTCAGTGGGTGAGTGTGTCTGGCCAGAGATGTAGCGAGGGATAATAAATTAGATTATCCCCCCAAAAATATCATGCTACGAGGACATCTGGGTGTTATGTTTATAATGGAATTATTTCTATATGGCCCATAACCACAATGGTAATTCTAAATTTGGTCTGCAGACAGAAAAAGGTTGCTCACCACTGCTCTACATTAGCATCTTCAACACACAGCCTTCAGACAGAAACAAACACACTTACAAACCTGCAGTCAAAAGTATAATTTGGAATGTCTGTGAAATAATGTTCCACAGGGTAAATGGCTACAGGTGCCTCTCCCGTCAACTGGTTGCCCATCTCAGTAAATGACTGCCAGTGTCCCTAAAGTTTCACGGAACATAACACATTTAGAAACCATGTATTACATAGCATATGTATGACATGAAACATGGTTGATGGTTATGATATCAGTACTGAGGAAAGCACTGATGACAATGAACATAATGCCATGGTGATGTTTAGGTGACTGTTATGTCTGCTGCTGATGACAAAGGATGTTTATGCACAGTGATGTTTTGGTAATTGTTTATCTTGATGATGACAAAGGACGGGCTATCCTCCGAATAACGGGCACAAAAGATGGCGGCCACAAAAACATCCTAACAGAGCCTCAGTCACGTGTCAATTACGCACTTCTGCCGACTTGATTTGCGGTTTTCGGGCAACTACCGCCACCGCCAAGAGTCCCCCACGCTGCTCATGTGGCGTGGATTGGGGCTAAACTAGATGGCTAGGATTCAAAAGCAGTGGCTTCCGCATTTTCTGCAGCTTGTTCATGAGTCCTAGCCATCTAGTTCAGCCATAATCCACGAAGCATGAGCGGCGTGGGGACTCTTGGCGGTGGCAGTAGTTGCCGGAAACCCGCAAATTAACTAGCTGAAAGTGTGTAATTGACACATGACTGAGGCCCTGTTTTTGGCTGCAATCTTTTGTGCCCATTATTCGGAGGATAGCCCAAAGGACGTTATGCCCACTGATGTGTTAGTGACTATTTCTGTTGACGACGACAAAGGAAGTCAGTGACAATAATGACGTGACAACAATGTCTGTGTGAGTGACAACAATGTCTGTGTGAGTGACAACAGCACTGATAAAAACAGACAGTGTTTGTAATAGTAATAGGATAGTGTAAGTGACTCCAGCAGACTACAATGTCAAATAGATTAGCACCGAGACAGTATCACCAACGTGCCTTTGTATCCTCTTAGAGTCTTAGGACACCAAGGTTATTACACTATTATAGTATTACACTACTATTCTGTTTTCTATGCAGGCCCCAGTAATTCCCGGTCACTATCATAAATTGAAAATGATTAAATTGCTATGTCATAATGTTGTCAGTACACTAACTAATACTCACTTAGAACACTACGGCTGACAAGAAAACAAACAAAACATTTACTTTTTCATAATATTGACAACTGAAATGACGTGTGAACTTCGTACGGCACTACAGCACATGAACGATCATAACTAGAAGAAGAACAGCCACTGTTTTTCCCGTTAACCAAGACAAGATGCGTATCTCACCAACAACAAGAAAAAGAGAACCAACTCCCTCTTCCCCCGTCTCTTACTTTAGCACAAACCAAAACTTTCACGTCTGCTTAGTATCCACCGGAAGTGGGGCGTAACCCGGAAGTCGATAGTGGCATCGTTGCTGATGTACTATTATTCAGTCAAATAAATTTAATTGCCCGGCGCGATAGCGAAAGAAAGTTTTATTCTCCCGTCCTCTACCTCATATTGGTCTCCACCGATGTCCTATGTGTAGGCCTAGTGGAAGTAGGGGTCTAACTAAAACTCTATATTTATTATTTCATCTTCTACTTCATCTTCCTTTCCACCGCTGCCATATATTTAGTCAGTGTCCCTACGTGCACCCGAAACATCCCCATTAACACTAACACACCCGTATTTAATAGTTCGCGAGACAGACAAATATATAGTCGACCTTTGGAGTGATGACTGCCACTCTACAGAGAGCATGCCCGACTCCGCCTTTCTTAACATGCATTGTGAGTCAGTTACAATCATGACGCATGTGCGCACTTGATTCTCAAACTAACGGAAAGCTGTCTTGGCTGCCTCCCTTTCCATTCTCAAAAGGGACGTTGTTGTATCATACGCTAGACTTTGTTGCACTAAACGTAGCCCATTCGTATTCTGCATCTCAACACAGTCATCTATGTAGGTAATCACATCACCTGGAATTATCATGAATCGATTGCTAATTATCTGATTCTATAGTGTCAGCTGGGCACTCTCGGCAAGTGTGATGGGAACCCTAGGGCCTAGACAAGTCTGGCTTTTTTCTGACACTTTGATCTATTTCTCTTCTCTCTAAACAGTCCCCCTCCCCCTTTTTTCCACATCATACACACATCTATAATTGTGTCTTCTGCTTGCGCCTTCCTAGACTTCCCTCTAATCAGCATGCGACCCTCAGATGTGTCCATGGCTTCGTGAAAAGGCTAGTTTTTATCGGTTGCTCCCTGAGTGAGGTAAGACCTAGTTTGCAGCACTTTGAGTCTGGAAATCTGCGCAGATTCCAAGTACCATTTCAGTCTTGATTAGCGAATTATCTCAAATGTCTTTCATACACCGCTTGTGAGACTGACTGGTCGATAGCTTGAAACATGGGTCGTGTTTTTTTAGAATAGGTATTGTGATGGCGTCCATCCATACTTGAGGCGCAAATCATTACTTCCAGTTGATGTTGAAAATGGCCAGCAGCTTTACTTTAGTAGCTGAGCACAGATTGGTCAGCATTTTATTAATGATTTCATCTGGACCTGCATACTTTTTTTTAACCTAAGCCTGGAAATAACATTTGGAAGTTTTCCCATGGTGAAGGGCTCCATCACAGAGACAGAAGTGTCTTTCTGTCTCTTATTTGTTTGTATTTATTTACTTATTACTCTCCAGTGGTCCCTTTTATTGGTCAGATCGCTTTGAACGCTATGCATTCTGCAGTTTCTTTTCCTCTGAAGATTTTGTCACCTTCACTAAGTGTGTGATTGTTTGTGTGGGAGAGAAACTCTGTTAACTGATTTAGCAAATTTTCAGTTTCTTGCCCTCTTTATCAAGGTTTAGAGCGGCTGTTTTATTTCTTAAGCTTCTCTGATTTTCTTCAAGTTTAAATCTTTAGAACACTGATACAGCTCTTTTCCATTTGATGTGGTTGTCAACTGAAGGTTGGGATTCCGCGTCCTTTCTAGCCTGATTTTTTTTGTCCATTACATTCATAGAATTTGCTGGACCAGTAAGGTTTGTAGTTGTGTCGATACCCTCTAGGGATTGCTTCTTTAACGGCTTGAAGAACACTTCTATTGAAATCTTGTACTATAGTATTACTGATGTTCCTAATTTGCATCCTGAGAGCAGACAGCAATGTACTTGCCCTGTCTGTATAGGCCCACGTTGGCTTTCTTGTAGTTCCATCTTGTGATGACTTGTCCAGTATTAACTGACACATTCTGGACAGTAAGAAAAATTGGGCGATGGTCTCTGTCCCCCAGTTTGTCTCCTAACTCACTGCTTATCATTCCAGATATATCTGGGGTAGAGAAGGCTTGATCTGGTGTTGACGTTGTCTGCCACCTTCTGGAGTAGAAGGTAGGAGTATCTGAGGGGGCACTGACCAGGATCAGAGAGTGGTCATCTTGCCATGTTTCCACCTCTTCACCCTTGTTGTTAGGATGGTTATAACCCCAGCTCTGTGAATGACTGTTAAAGTCTCCAACTGCAATAATGTTGGTATCTAACAACGGCACAGAGCTAAGACTTAACGGTTTGTTACTGAGGCAATTGTAGTTTAGGAGGTCTAGTTCCATTCTGACTGTTTTACGTTACAGGAGTTAGTACTCAGCTCCATCCATATAAAACATATTCTCATATGAGTGGATACTGTTTTTACAAAGGTAAGTACACCTCCTTTCTGCCTGCCTTGTCTGTCATATCTGAAGCACTGGAAGCTTCTTATTTAAAAGATCTGATCTGCTTGATGTGGGTCACTTGGATGCAGCACACACTGACATGCCTTTCGTACAAGATGTTTTGCTGCTCCCTCTTTTTGCTGTAGCCAGCCTGTTTACTGTTGACCCATCTGCATTCCAGTGCATTATGACAGAAGACAATTTGAGATTGTTTCTGTCTAACTGGTTTTGGTCAGTCACTATCCTTCATCGTCTCATGACTCCACAAGACGGTCTAGGAGATCCTCCAGTATCTAGGAATGGATTTTGTCGAGGTTCAGAACCTGGCACTGCAACTTCCTGAGGGAGCTCCGATAGGGCAAGGCGAGTAATAACATTAAATTCATTTGACTATGAAATCATGTATATAGCGGGGGTTGCGTGGTACTGTGGATATTGATTCGCCTTCTGACCCAGTATTTCAGACTTCGGAATCTCTTGAAAGGGAGAGTGTGCTCATCCCTTCGCCTATACCTCGTTTGTTGTTCTAACCAGGTTACCGCTGGGGATTGGTACCTGTAACTGCCTATATTCCTTTGTAGGAGCTCTTTCATAAAAAAAAAAAAAAACATGCAATTTAAAAGCAGCGGGTAAGGATGTGGCAATATCAGCAATGTAGCCACAAAGGACATATCAGATGATTCGCCCATGTATGAAGACAAACAGAATTGGCAAATCATGTATGGCTTTAACAGAGCAAGAGACTAGCCCAGATAGCTATAGGCCAGAAGAATATTAGGAATAGCAAATAACATTTTGCGCAGTTCATATACGTATTTTCCCTAATCATTGCCCGCATTGTTTTATACTGATTAAAGCTTTTTAGTCTCTTTGTTTTATTTGTCATTCGAGATTTTCTTTTATTAGAAAGTTCACTAATTTTACTTCTTTAAATTTATTTTGTTCCAGAGAGAGAGAGAGAGAGAGAGAGAGAGAGAGAGAGAGAGAGAGAGAGAGAGAGAGAGAGAGAGAGAGATGGGGGGGGGGGGGGGGTAAAAACCATCCATTCATAGCGATATTCGTAATAACAGCAGTTATATAGAGATCAAAAAGAGACTAGGAAATGGCTAAAACTGTCTTCAGTAAGCTGCGAAAATTTCTGACAGCTAGAGAAACATTAAAATGAGAATCATCAAATATTATATATATCAACCCTGTTGTAGGGTGCAGAAATCTGGATACATGGCACTGGACAATAAACATGCAACTAGAGAATCGAATTGAGTCTCTGGAAATGTGGATATATAGAGGAGTAGGTTGATTTCACGGAAACAAGAAGAGCTGGAGAGACAGCGAATGAAAATGAGGGTTATTTAAAGTAATTTTGAAAAAGGACACAACCGAACTTCGACTATATTAAAAGACATACCATTCCTATAAAAACCATACTAGGGGGAGGCTTCGAACGTCAAGACAGCAAGCGGTAGATAACGGTACAAGTGGTAGGACATCATCAAGAGATGGAAGACAGCAGTCTAAAAAAGTGCACTATCAAGACAAGAGATAGAGCTTGCTGGAGATCAATTGCAAGCAACCTTTATTGTGGAGACGCCATCTAATCGACTGACATCGATACATTTTAAAATGAATACTATAGACTAGTCGACTAGTCAGTAAACACAAGAATCGAATCCACCATAAACAATACAGACAAACATGGCGGACGTGAGAAGGTCGGAGGATACCTACGGGGAAAAAGTTGACCGTTGTTTGTACAACTCCCTTGTGAATTTCGGTAAAGTGCAGTTATTGTAGCACCTTTAAATAGTTAATTATAGCTTCTCCTTTCTATTGTAATCTACACTTTTTTTTTCATCCAAATCTTTTTTATTTTGCTTGTGGTTCTTTTTAGTTTAGAACTAAAGAACACGTTACACAAGTCACAAGCATCGTGATAAGAAGTGAAAGTGAAAGTATGCTGAGGAGGGTGAGAACATGCAGGCATGCCTCGTGCAGTGTTATGCTTCGCTTCGTTGGTTACGGGTGAAGAGCATTGTCAGGAACTTGTCTCCGGGGGTATTTGGAAATGAACAGACCTGCTAGTTTTGCACAACTTGGTGGAATACTGGTACATGACAAGGTGAGGCTATCCTCCGAATAACGGCCCTAAATTATCGAGGCGGAAAATATACCCCAGCAGGGCCTCAGTCACGTGCAAACTTCCGGTGACGTCCGCCACCGCCGAGAGTATCCCCCACACCGCTTACGCGGCGTGAATTCGGGCGGTGTGGGGGATACTCTCGGCAGTGGCGGACGTCGCCGAAAGTTCGCACTTCGGCGGTGGCGTTACAGTCAGTCCCAGAAAGTGTGCAATTGACACGTGACTGAGGCCCTGTTAGGGTATATTTTCCACCTCTATAATTTAGGACCGTTATTCGGATAAGGCACATGTGGTTAAAGCCTTATGGGAGCTTGTCTACAATGCTGAACAGCCTGGTGAGAGTAATGTAGCGAGGAGGGGATCTGATGTTCCTCAACACTCAGAGAAAGGCAAGACGGACATATAGCCAGTCTGCTACTGGCAAAATTGGTATTGAATCTCTGTGCTGGCTGCTGAAGATAGGGACAGAGTGCTTATAGGAATGCCTTGATTGCTGTGATGTTAGTTCTTAAATCAGTTAAGCTGTCCAGTGTAACCCTTAGTTATTTGTCAGCTGTCAGCTTTTTAAATTGTTTATCCATTCAATTCAAATATTTTTTTGTACTGTTATTTTTGCTTCTTTTATATTTATTCTCAGAATACCATGGACAGTCTCAAAGAAGAAGGAAATACTGATATCCTAAACAAAAAGATGTAAACATCAAGGAAGATTGGCTAGTCACCGAAACAGCATGAGCGTCTTGTCCCAGAAAGTGAAATATTTTGGTCACATCAAGCCCCACAGAGGATTAAAATAAATCATAGCAGAAGGCATGGTACCAGGAAAGAAAGACACCAGGCCGACCAGATGGGCACAGGATATAAGTAACATCTTGGGTAGGAAAGTGCATGAGGTGGGAGAGCGATGTTCTACAAATGGACCAGCAGCATGAGGATCTGCATTAACCCTTATTTTAATTTCTTTGTATTAGATAGAAATGAGATGAAATGTTGAAGAAACTTGAGCCAGCAGATATGTGTATGCCTGTGTATTTAAAGTAAAGAATATGTTGAGCAGAAGAACTGAGGTGTTCTGAGCTTCATTTATGTGTGATGCAGGATCATTAGACAATCCAAAACCACAAAGAAGAGACAAATGAGCTGGGAAGCTAAAAGCAGCATGGAACAGTGCTGGTCCCCTTATCTGCTATAAACTGTTGTTTATCATTTTATTTCAGCTGGTGGTGTTGTTATTGGTATTGGCCTGTCAGCTTTTGTCTTCAAGCGTAAGTTATTTTACTCATTGTGATTAGGGCTGTACCGAATAGTGATTTTCACTATTCGGCCGAATACAAATAGTGAGATCAACTATTCGGCCAAATACGAATTCGAATAGTGTATCATCATCATCAGGTGCCTTGCGGACTGGTGTTGCCGATTTTGCCTCGCCACAATCTGCGATATCCTGCAGCATGTATCAGTTCGTGTGCTGACACACCTCCATGACATGCAACAAGACTGTCAAGAATCTTCTCTCGTTGTCTTTTTCTATCTCTCCTTCCACAAATCTTTCGAGTGGTCACATGTTCCATTTTCACTCTTCTTATAAGATGGCAGAAAAATGATGACTGTCTCCTTCTGATGTCTGCGATTAGTTGTCTTCGGGCTCCCGCCTCTTTCAAAACCTAGTGGTTGCTTTTTTAGGCTGTCCAAGGTATTTTAAGCATTGTTCTGTAAAACCACATCTCTGAGGCCTCAAAAAATTGTTTGGCCTGGCTACCGATTGTCCAGGACTCATAGCCATATGTTAAAACTGGATGTATGTAGCAAGCAAGACAAAGATATATTGCATAAGATGTTCTTTTTTTTAATTATAAAATGCAGTTTTTGCCTGTCCTTTTTTGTTTCTTATTTTAGTAATGCATCTTTCATCTGATTTTATCCATGTGCCAAATTCGCATTTAAATCATCGTTCGTTCAGGCGTTCGTTCGATGTAATTTAAATGCACCTCCATATTCTCGTTCGCGATATCTTCAATTTGATTTGGGAAAAGACACCCCGAAAGAATGAAAAAATGCATGCTCTCTCTTTCTCTCTCTCACACACACACACGGATACACTTTCAAGTTTCTTCATGCCTTCTTTAACACAACAGTAGCGTTGCCTAAATCTGTCGTAGCGGGAAAAACTGCGACCCGGTTGCATGGTAACAGCACCTGCTGACTCCGAGGCATTACAGCAGAGGTTCTGAAAACTGGGTGCTTATGCCAGGGGTGCCGCGGCGAAAATCAAGAAAAGTCGGCTATAAATTGTGACATTATTAATGAGAGTTATTTCAGTCCATAGCAGTGTATGCAGAAATCACTATTCGTATTCGGCCCGACCGTCACTATTCAGCCGAATACCGAATAGCCATTAGGTCCACTATTCGGACCCGAAGCGAATATTCGGTACAGCCCTAATTGTGATGTTACTTTATACAATTAGTTAGTTCGTTCAACAGATTATTCCCATTGCACATCAGACAAGTCCATAAGCGCTCAAATCTTATCTTCAGTATTTCCCCCAGTGTGTGGCGACTGATAACACCAGTTCTGTGTTGGTTTACTATTCTTCTTTGGTTACCTGTATGGTGTTAATGTTTGGTGACACCTATTTTGACCTGAAGTTCTTTAGTCTTTTGAGTGTCGCTGACTCACCAATGTCCCCTGAATCATCTTTTCATCCTGCCTTCTTGAGAGCATTGAGAATATTTATATAATACTTACCACAAACATAATTTAACATCTTTGCAACAAAATGGAGGCTGTACAGTGTAATACAAAGTCCTATTTATGGCATGTTGCAATTGATGCATAACAGATGGTCACTTCTTCTTCAATCCTTCTGTCCGAAAAACTTACTTCAGGAGGCTGGTAGCCTTGATGAAGGCTTTTGTGCAGTCCAGATATCCTTGTGTACCATACCATTTTGTCTTGAATGAGGCCAGGTTGCTTCTTAGTATCCAGTGATGGAGTACATGCTCAACATTTTGTGATGCCAAGTTTCAGGGACACAGCTAACCTCTGAATAATGGTCCCAAATTATAGAGGCAGAAAATATACCCTAACAGGGCCTCAGTCACATGTAAATTGGGGACTTCTGGCGACTACTGCCACCGCCGAGAGTATCTCCCGCAAATAAAATGAAGAAAGCTGCAGGAGATGCTGCTCATGAGTCCCGGCATCTAGTTTAGCACCGCTTCGCGCCACGCACAGCAGGAGATACTCGTGGCGGTAGTCGCCGGATGTCTGCAGTTTAAGTCGCCGAAAGTCCGCAATTTACATGTGACTGTTGTTAATATGTTATAGTTATTTTATGAAGTGTTTAATACAATTGCTTGCTTTGTGTAATGTTCAGTGCTGTTAATGTTTTCCACATGCATCTTTTTGTTTTCTACTATTTCATTCTTCTGATATTTTCTTTTTCTATATTTCATATACACATTTCTGTTTTCCTGTGTCTTCTAGTATTTTCATAGAAAAGGCTTATTATTATATTCCACATACATTTGTGTTTTCCTCTCTCTCTCTCTTTTAATATTTTCTTAGACAAGGCTAATTTCTATATTCCACATACGTGTTTCTGTTTCCCCCTCTCTTCTAATGTTTTTTCACACTAGGTTAATTTTCTGTTCGACATACATCTTTGTGTGTTACTCTATCTCTCTCTTCTAATATTTTCTGAAACAAGGCTAATTTCCATATTGCACAACTTATCTGGATATGCTCCCTAAATTACATGATAGTTTTGATGTGATCTGGTAAAAACTGCAGCTCCCAAAACCCCAACATATATTCTCTGTACATGTACTTTCAAATTTCACAGGCTCTAGTTTTCCAGTCTGTAGATTAACATCTGAAGGATGAGAATCAAACAGGTGCAGATCCCAGAAACTTTTTCAACAGTATAGCAGTTATACTGGGGAACCACAAGATGGTTGCAAAGTAAATCTTTTCTGCCTCCAGTTATATTACTCATTGTCGACCAGTCACATTATCATGACTTATTATCCTACATTTGCAGTTTCATTACTTATTGTTCAACACTGGCATCCACACAGAACAGACTATTCATTTACCAAGTTGTTAATGTATTTATCTATCTGTACAAGCATTACCCAGTCATTTTTGTTTCTTCTTGCCTTTCATTTCTTCTGTAGCTCTTTGCCAATGAAAAACACCCATTCCCTCCAAGATGGAAAAAAAAATACTACTTGCCTAGTGCTGAACCCAGTGTTTGTTTTGTTGAATTGTATTCTGGTGACACTTTATATGCCTCTTGGCAGAAGTGAAGTTCCAGTACTGGTCTTGGACCCACCATGCAGGTTTCTGAGTCTGAAGAGAGGACTGAGAGTCCTGCAGCTGTCACCATAATGGGGTCATAGATAGAGAGAGAGAGAGAGAGAGAGAGAGAGAGAGGATAGTCACGAAGGAGTCAGTACTGGGCTTGGAGAGAAAAGTATGGTCACCATGGGGATGGTACTGGGCTTTGAGAGAAAAGTATGGTCACCATGGAGACGATACTGGGTTTTGAGAGAAAAGTATGGTCACCATGGGGATGGTACTGGGCTGAGAGAGAAAATTATGGTCACCATGGGGATGGTACTGAGCTGAGAGAGAAAAGTATGGTCACCATGGAGACATGAATGGGCTGGGATAGAAAATTTGCATCTGTCCATCGCACGTAATGACTTTTTCTGTTACCCGTCATGAAACTATAGTTGATTGCCTGAAAGTCCAGGGGTGACTTATAAGTCGAGCCATATCATACTGAAATGATTCTGTTTTGTCCATCACTGCATGTGGTGATATCATGGGTCATTTTATTCGTCTCCATAGGTAAAATGTGGCCAGTGATCTTGGGCGGAGGTATTGGATCGGGGATGGCAGTTTCTTCCTGCAGGCATGAGTTCCAGAACAAGCTGCCCCTTCCAAAAAGAGTTCAGCCGGTAAGCTAATCATCATATAATCTTCCCAGATATACCAACTGCATAAAACTATCCTGCAGTGAATCCTATTGCATGTGATCTATCCAGACATGGAGTGGGTGAAATAACAAATAGATGCTGATTTGCATGCCTGTGTGGGTTCTGGACCCCATTGAGAGGAAAACAAGAGTAGACCCACTGTCTTCCCAGCAAGCATGTTGCAAAAATCGATTAACAAGTGCTTCCTTCCAAGTCAGTGTGCATCTGCCTGAAAGGCAGGAAACCAACAGTCTGTATACAAATAGGTCAGATATATAAAATGGATGTGCATGCAATATACAGTGAATATATTATGAGATCTTTAATTGATATGCCCGGAATCGTGGTTGGTGGGCACAATATAAACAATTTACGTTATGCTGATGACACAGTCTTGATAGCAACAAGTCAGAAAGAATTACAGGAAATTATAGACATTGTGGTGTTAGAAAGTGGAAGAATGGGCCTCAGTTTGAATAATGGGAAGACAGAATAAATGGTGGTATCAAAGAACAAATTATTCCTAAATGTGTAATAAAAGTCAATGGTGTTATTTTAAGACAAGTACAGAAATTTAAGTATCTGGGCACATAGATAACATCAGATGGAAGATGCATAACTGAAATAAGAAACAGAATTGGACAGGCAAAAACTGCATTTTATAAAATGAAAAACATTCAAAAAGAATTCAGTTTTAACATATGGATGTGAATCCTGGACAATCGGTAGGCAGGCCAAACAATTTTTAGAGGCCTCAGAGATGTGGTTTTACAGAAGAATGCTTAGAATACCCTGGACAGCCAAAAAGAGCAACCAAAAGGTTTTAAAAGAGGCGGGAGCCTGAAGACAACTTATCACTGACATCAGAAGGAGACAGTCATCATTTTTCGGCCATGTTATGAGAAGAGGGAAAATAGAACATGTTGTGACCACTGGAAAGATCTGTGGAAGGAGGGATAGAGGAAGACAACGAGAGAAGATGCTTGACAGTCTTGTTGCATGGCATGGAGGTGTGTCGGCACACGAACTGATACATGCTGCAGGAGATCTCGGATTATGGAGAGGCATGATCGCCCACGCCAGTCGGCAAGGCACCTGATGATGATGATGCATGCAACACTCAAGGTTCTGGAACAAGACTAAAGTCCAGAAGTGGACGAACAACTAGAACTTTCTGCCAGAGTTTACAGCCGGTAAATGTGAAGAAAAAAGAAGCTGATCTGCACACCGTGTCAACTATCTGTCACCATTAAGAAAAATATGTGGGCAACAGGTGATATCAATAGTTGTAAGAAAAAGAAGATATATAGGGCACATCATGGGGAGAAAATATGGAATCACCAGATAGGTGTTGAAGTGGGGGAACAAATGGATTAAAATGAGATGATGTCCAGAAAAAATGATAAGAAAGGCCAAAGGTGAGGACAGTTCAATCCATGATATTGAAACAGCTGCACATAGTAGATGGAAGGGAAAAATAAACTCGGGGCCCTGTGTGATAAAATGACACAACAGGATAATGACAATGATCTGTCACCAGGGGCCTATACAGAAACAAAGAATGGTAACTGTAACCTTTGACACATGTTATAAGAGATGACATGTGAGGGCTGACTTGACACTGGTTATCTCACCCTCCACCCCAAACCTTAGCTGCAAAATCTAACCATTTTTTAAGTATCCAAGAGATTACCGTGCTCATTGATATGCGGAAGGGTGATATAATGTGTGAATAAAACAGGAGTTAAATGGCAGAATAGTTACTTCATGTATTGTAATAATATTTTTATTTGATTGCCCCAATGTTCTTTCTAATGTGTATTTGTAGCTGGTGTCCGCTTTATTTCTGTGTGATTTTGTCACATTTGTATTTACTGTACTTTATACTTCTTCCCTATTATTTAAAACCTGGTTCGCGTGTTTTCAGGTGCCATCTACATCAGAAAATGTATCTCAGTGAGCTCAAGCATGACCCGAGGACTGCAGTTACTTTGGAGGCAGAAAAGAAGCAGATTTAGTTGTTCAGCTTAACATGATGGTTAAAAAGTCTGCTCCATTTTTATTAACGATGCAGTTACAATAAAAAGAAATCTGACAGTATTCTCACAGCTGTACTTGTTTAGCTGTGTGTTCTGAAGAGATCTCTATGTACATATGACTTATCTGACCACCCAGATGACTTGTAAAGCAGACACTAAAGTTTCATTTCAGTGTGAGGATTACTTATGCTCACCATGTCAGTTAATTATTTGTTTGATTTCTCCTATTTAAATAAAAAAAAAAACTATTACGTTGTGCTTTCTCAGATATATTTGTTGACATGATTTTGCTAGAGGAAGGAAAAGACCTACGAAAAACTAGTTGTGAATAACTGAACATTGTTGAGCTAGCTGTTTATTGTATGTGTGTACTTGTAAATTGTTCTTTCTACATATAAATTACAACAGTGTACACATGAATAATCATTATAAATGTATCTGTTTTATTTTCATTTATTGTGAGGTTTTCATTTCTGAAAGTGTTGTGGCTGAAAGATATGAAAGGGCACTTGAACTGTGTGTCAGTGGTATACTTTAAGATATTTACAGATAGGTTACAGAGATTAGTTTTATATAAGAGACATATGCAGTTAAATAAATGACATTGTCAAACTCTGATGATGCCTGGCACAACACAAAAACTCCTGTGTCATTGCATCAATAAGCAAGCCTCAAACATTGTTTGTAAAGATTACTGCCATCTGATAAAACTTAATTTCAAGTCAACCATTCTGGAAATGTTGCCAACTACAACAGATTAACCAGTTATAAAACTAAAACTGATGTTCTCTTTAGAAGTGTTCTGATGGTGCTACAGTTTATTGTGCGTCTCAGTAGTTTGGTGGAGCACCATCTGAAGATTATCTGGCCATCTATAAAAACAGTAAAAATACAAGTCTAGATATGCAAACGCAGGACCAAATATGTCATACATTTATAATAGACATTCCAGAGACCACAGTTTTAATCCCCAGTAAAATGGTGGATTTTTTTTTTGGGAAGAGGGGGCCCCAAAAAAAAAAAAAAAACCTACAAAGTTGACAGCAACTACACCAGTCCTAAATCAGCAGTCCCAAAATGCCCTAACAAATGGTAAATTCAGGCAGCAACAACAGTTTTATAATGGACAAAATGCGGTTTAAACTAAATGTCAAAAGAAACAACTCAGTAAAGAGTGAATTATTAAAATGAACTCAACAGATTTATTCATGTAAAACACCTGAATACCTTTGCTACTCAGAAGCAAAGTCACTGCAAATACAATCTGCCAAACATCTGTATTGCGCACACAGACAAGACTATCATACAGAGACATCACATATGAGATCAGTGCAAATACAATTTGCCAAACATTTGTATTGTTGTTATTACTCACATAGGCAGCACACATCACATCTGAAATCACAAACAACCAGTCACTCTACTGTCTGTAACATTCCCCAGCTATGAATCACTCACTCATGTTCATAATGATAAAATGTTCCTCCATGCACACTCTGACTGTCTAATACTGGAAGCTCCTTTTAGTTTTAATATCGTCCAATATCTGCTGCAGCTCATCGTCTTCAAACCTTCCATCCAAACTGAAACATAACAACCAAACAGTTCATGTTATTATCATCAAAGTGTACTGTATCAACTCATATGACTTACATCTACATTGCATCATCACCTTTCAGCGATGTATAGGTTGTATCAACTCTTATCACTTACATCTACATTGTGTCATCCCCTTTCAGCGCTGTATAGGTTGTATCAACTCTTATCACTTACATCTACATTGTGTTATCCCCTTTCAGCGCTGTATAGGTTGTATCAACTCTTATCACTTACATCTACATTGTGTCATCCCCTTTCAGCACTGTATAGGTTGTATCAACTCTTATCACTTACATCTACATTGTGTCATCCCCTTTCAGCGCTGTATAGGTTGTATTAACTCTTATCACTTACATCTACATTGTGTCATCCCCTTTCAGCGCTGTATAGGTTGTATCAACTCTTATCACTTACATCTACATTGTGTTATCCCCTTTCAGCGCTGTATAGGTTGTATCAACTCTTATCACTTACATCTACATTGTGTCATCCCCTTTCAGCACTGTATAGGTTGTATCAACTCTTACCACTTACATCTACATTGCATCATCCTCTTTCAGCACTGTATAGGTTGTAACTCTTATCACTTACATCTACATTGTGTCATCCCCTTTCAGCTCTGTATAGGTTGTATCAACTTGTATCACTTACATCTACATTGTGTCATCCCCTTTCAGCGCTGTATAGGTTGTATCAACTCTTATCACTTACATCTACATTGTGTCATCTCTTTCAGCGCTGTATAGGTTGTATCAACTCTTATCACTTACATCTACATTGTGTTATCCCCTTTCAGGCTGTATAGGTTGTATCAACTCTTATCACTTACATCTACATTGTGTCATCCCCTTTCAGCTCTGTATAGGTTGTATCAACTCTTATCACTTACATCTACATTGTGTCATCCCCTTTCAGCGCTGTATAGGTTGTATCAACTCTTATCACTTACATCTACAGTGTGTTATCCCCTTTCAGCGCTGTATAGGTTGTATCAACTCTTATCACTTACATCTACATTGTGTCATCCCCTTTCAGCACTGTATAGGTTGTATCAACTCTTACCACTTACATCTACATTGCATCATCCTCTTTCAGCACTGTATAGGTTGTAACTCTTATCACTTACATCTACATTGTGTCATCCCCTTTCAGCTCTGTATAGGTTGTATCAACTTGTATCACTTACATCTACATTGTGTCATCCCCTTTCAGCGCTGTATAGGTTGTATCAACTCTTATCACTTACATCTACATTGTGTCATCTCTTTCAGCGCTGTATAGGTTGTATCAACTCTTATCACTTACATCTACATTGTGTTATCCCCTTTCAGGCTGTATAGGTTGTATCAACTCTTATCACTTACATCTACATTGTGTCATCCCCTTTCAGCACTGTATAGGTTGTATCAACTCTTACCACTTACATCTACATTGCATCATCCTCTTTCAGCACTGTATAGGTTGTAACTCTTATCACTTACATCTACATTGTGTCATCCCCTTTCAGCTCTGTATAGGTTGTATCAACTTGTATCACTTACATCTACATTGTGTCATCCCCTTTCAGGCTGTATAGGTTGTATCAACTCTTATCACTTACATCTACATTGTGTCATCCCCTTTCAGGCTGTATAGGTTGTATCAACTCTTATCACTTACATCTACATTGTGTCATCCCCTTTCAGCACTGTATAGGTTGTATCAACTCTTACCACTTACATCTACATTGCATCATCCTCTTTCAGCACTGTATAGGTTGTAACTCTTATCACTTACATCTACATTGTGTCATCCCCTTTCAGCTCTGTATAGGTTGTATCAACTTGTATCACTTACATCTACATTGTGTCATCCTCTTTCAGCGCTGTATAGGTTGTATCAACTCTTACCACTTACATCTACATTGTGTCATCCCCTTTCAGCACTGTATAGGTTGTATCAACTCTTACCACTTACATCTACATTGTATCATCCACTTTCAGCGCTGTATAGGTTGTATCAACTCTTACCACTTACATCTACATTGTGTCATCTCTTTCAGCGCTGTATAGGTTGTATCAACTCTTACCACTTACATCTACATTGTGTTATCTCTTTCAGCGCTGTATAGGTTGTATCAACTCTTACCACTTACATCTACATTGCATCATCCTCTTTCAGCACTGTATAGGTTGTAACTCTTATCACTTACATCTACATTGTGTCATCCCCTTTCAGCTCTGTATAGGTTGTATCAACTCTTACCACTTACATCTACATTGCATCATCCTCTTTCAGCACTGTATAGGTTGTAACTCTTATCACTTACATCTACATTGTGTCATCCCCTTTCAGCTCTGTATAGGTTGTATCAACTTGTATCACTTACATCTACATTGTGTCATCCTCTTTCAGCGCTGTATAGGTTGTATCAACTCTTACCACTTACATCTACATTGTGTCATCCCCTTTCAGCACTGTATAGGTTGTATCAACTCTTACCACTTACATCTACATTGTATCATCCACTTTCAGCGCTGTATAGGTTGTATCAACTCTTACCACTTACATCTACATTGTGTCATCTCTTTCAGCGCTGTATAGGTTGTATCAACTCTTACCACTTACATCTACATATTGTATCATCCACTTTCAGCACTGTATAGGTTTTTTACAGATTTATTTTAGCTGCACATGGATACCCCCATGCAGCAATTTTATACAGACACTCAAGAAACATTTCAACAGTGCACAAACACTACTGCACCTGTTATTCTAGACAGACTGTCTAAGTTTGAAATACAATTTGGACAGCTTCCTAAAATGCTGGTCTTTTCAATTATAACTGCTGAAAAATACTGGAATCATTGCAATCCCTGACCTTGTTAATCTTATGTTTGTGTGGCATCTTGTGTACATATGTGTCAGACAAAGGAGACTGTTCTATGTGTGTGATTGGTACAGCCTGTACTATATGTATGTGATATAACAGTCTGGCCTGTTTAAGTATGTATACATTACAAGTCTAGCCCTACATGCCTGAAGTTGTGGAAAAGGGTACTTTGCTTTTACCTGTGGGTGTATGGTATGGTAGCCTGTTATTTGATATCGTAGTCTGTCATGTGTATGATATGACAGTCTGCTCTGTCTATGTGTGTGATAAAGTAGCCTGCCCTGTGTATGTGTGAAATATGGCAGTCGGTTCTGTGTATGTTTATGATAAAGTAGCCTGTCCTGTGTATGTGTGATATTGCAGTCTGTCATGTGTTTGTGTGTGATAAGGTAGCCTGTCCTGGGTAATTGTGAAGTATGGCAGTTGGTTCTGTGTACGTATATGATAAAGTAGCCTGTCCTGTGTATGTATGATATTGAAGCCTGTCCTGTTTTGTCAATGTGTGAGATATGGTTGTCTGTCCTGTTTTGTCAATGTGTGAAATATGGTAGTCTGTCCTGTCTTGACTATGTGTGAAATATGGTAGTCTGTCCTGTTTTGTCAATGTGTGAGATATGGTAGTCTGTCCTGTTTTGTCAATGTGTGAGATATGGTAGTCTGTCCTGTTTTGTCAATGTGTGAGATATGGTAGTCTGTCCTGTTTTGTCAATGTGTGAGATATGGTAGTCTGTCCTGTTTTGTCAATGTGTGAAATATGGTAGTCTGTCCTGTCTTGACTGTGTGTGAAATATGGTAGTCTGTCCTGTCTTGACAATGTGTGAGATATGGTTGTCTGTCCTGTTTTGTCAATGTGTGAAATATGGTAGTCTGCCCTGTGAATGTGTGTGATATGGTAGCCTGTCCCGTGAATGTGTGTGATATGGTAGCCTGTCCTGTGAATGTGTGTGATATGGTAGCCTGTCCTGTGTATGTGTGAGATATGGTAGCCTGTCCCGTGAATGTGTGTGATATGGTAGCCTGTCCCGTGAATGTGTGTGATATGGTAGCCTGTCCTGTGAATGTGTGTGATGTGGTAGCCTGTCCTGTGAATGTGTGTGATATGGTAGCCTGTCCTGTGAATGTGTGTGATATGGTAGCCTTACTGTGAATGTGTGATATGGTAGCCTGTCCTGTGAATGTGTGTGATATGGTAGCCTGTCCCATGAATGTGTGTGATATGGTAGTCTGTTCTGTGTATGTGTGAGATATGGTAGTCTGTCCTGTGAATGTGTGAGATATGGAAGCCTGTCCTGTGTATGTGTGAGATATGGTAGCCTGTCCTGTGAATGTGTGAGATATGGTAGTCTGTCCTGTGAATGTGTGAGATATGGTAGCCTGTCCTGTGAATGTGTGAGATATGGTAGCCTGTCCTGTGAATGTGTGAGATATGGTAGCCTGTTCTGTGTATGTGTGAGATATGATAGTCTGTTCTGTGTATGTCTGAAATTACAATATCTCTCTTTTTTCGCATCTGATTCTGTGTGATCAAAAAAAAAAAAACGACAAGTTTTTTATCTTAAATTTGTTTTGTTATTTATAAAACGACTGCTGGCTATGGCGAGCGTGGAGACATTGAGATGGCTACTACATCAGAAGATGGAGCTGGAATGATGCGCTGGGATGTCGATGCAGACAAATAACCAGTGAGATGTGGTAGTCTTCCATACACAATCAAACGTTAGGACGAACTTACTGAAGAAATAAACTTTTGACCTCAGCAGGGATATATTATTCTCATTAGTTCCCCTGGTTAGGGCAATTTTCTTTATCATAAACTTGATTTTTGGTCCTGTGGAATTCAAGTTAACAAGGTTTTACTGTATGCATGCCAAGGAACTCGTCAGTAAGTTTTTTAGGTGTGTACACATACATAACTGTTTAACACAGCAAGCTCCTAAACATCATACTCTTACCTGGGAATAAATGACTTGGCCTCTTCTGCAGTTTCTGGACAGAGATTTGCTAGTTGTGCCAGCTCAAACTTGTGGAGTTTCTTCTGCATCAAAGAACTGTGGAGTAAGTTGCCATAGGATTGAGGTTTTGAACAAGGGACCAACATCGTGGCACACAGGTGTAACCCATAAGGGCTTCTTCTAACTCAAGGCTTAGTCTGAAGAAGCTCAGCACAGCGCACAGGCTCTGCAGCACCAGCAAGGATCCTGAAATACTTTGGAGGGTAGATTTCTAGCTCCAAATTTAGCCCGGGCAGAGCTGTTAGGTTACTCTTCAATTTCCAATTGCCAAGGAAATTTGTGTGTGCGCAACAATGCACATGGGCATCCAATCTCCCTACCCAGAGACCAGGGGGAATTACTAGAAGTAAGTCCATGTGAACAACATCCCAGCCCTTACTGGGGATTAAATCCGGAACCTCTAGCACTCAAGGCGGACACAATGCCTCGAGGCCACATAGCTTCCCTGTTGCCACAGGAAAAATGCATGATTTCAAGACTGTTACTTTAACTAATTTATAGGTGCTTTGCCACAGGTTCTGCATGTGTTTAAATCTCGGCACTGCTAATGCAAGTCTTCTTCTGACTACTACTTTTGAGCAGTCACCCCTGCTGTTCACCAAAGAGCCCAAGTATTCGAAATCTGACATTTTCATTTTTGATTGCGGTATGTGGTTGGTGTGCTGTATTTGCAGAGGACAATTTTTTTCTTTCAAATTCAGAAAAAGAATAACTTCTTTGCGGTGCTTTTAAAGACCAGAATTAATTTTCTAAACCTCTAGGATGATTCTTATATTGAAAATACTGTCTCTTGTTCCTCTGCCCTATCTAAAACTTGCTTGTGCTTCTTGTAATTCATATTTCAATTTTTCTCTATCCTTAATATATCTGTAGAAGGATTTTGCTGGTATGACTACTAATTAGTGCCTTAGTACGGTAACTAACATAATTTAAGATTTACTTTGTTTTCAGAAGGGGAATGTAAACTGATCTTTTCCAGGCTTTGGGCCAGTCAGCACTGTTCCAGATTTCCAAACATAGTGAGTGCATGGTATAGAATAATGCTGGCTTCTTCAGCCTAAATTAACTCTGCTGATATGTCGTCACATTCTGGAGATATTCCATCTATAATACCAAAATGATTGCACAGGACAACTGGGAATGGAGAAACAGATTACGAGCCCTACCTGGCATACATAGGCAAATGAAGGACAATGAATAAACAAATATATCTATCCATAAAAAATGAGATATCTGTGAAGGGCTGCAGAAGTGACCAGAAGAGATTAAATCAGGTCACAAGAGAACAAGTCAGGAGCGAACCAATTCTAAATTACTTATAAAGAAAGACAGCAAATGAAATAGTTTGCCCAATTGGAGAGAATAGACATACCAGGCATACATTAAAACAAAAGGATGTAGAGCATAAGGTAGATCAAGAACAAGATGAAAAGATAACAGAGAAACTCTACAACAGCGTCAGATGTGTATGGTAGCACAGAAAAGCAAGAATCAGACCGGGCTAACCTCAGAAAAACGGTCCTAAATTATCGAGGCGAAAAATATACACTAACAGGGCCTCAGTCACGTGTCAATTGCGCACTTCTGTCGTCTTAAAGTGCGCACTTCCGGCGACTTCCGCCATTGCCAAGAGTATCCCCGCGTGGCGTGGATTGGGGCTAAACTAGATGGCTGGGACTCACAAGCAGCTGCTACAGCATCTCCTGCAGCTTCTTTCATTTTATTTGCTCGTGAGTCCTAGCCATCTAATTCGCATTTCGGCGGTGGCGTTATAGTCCCCGGAAGTGCGCAATGGACATATGACTGAGGCCCTGTTAGGGTATATTTTCCGCCTCGATAATTTAGGACTGTTATTCTGAGGATAGCCTCAGACCCTTATACCCTTTCTTGAAACTCAAAGCGATTAAAGAGGAAGTAAAGAAGAAGAAGAAGAATATCTGTCTATCTATATCCTCTTCATGTCACTGTTGACACATAAGGTATACCCAAGTGATTAACCTATGTTATTTTATATTCCTTCATTTCTTTACTGTCTCTATCAGGTGTTCTTAGGTTGTCCATGGTACATTTTTTCATCTGCTGTCCACCAGAAAGCTGTTCATGCCCAAAGTTGCATTAGCAAACATGTCCAAGCCATCTCCATCTTCTTCCTTTGATGTTTGCCAGTAATTAACATTTTTTGTTTTCCACCTCAGTTTATTTACGATCTTATCTAGTCCAAATATTTGCAGGATTCTTATCATACATTTATTTTGAAAAGTTTCTAGTTCATATGTAATTCACACTGTCATTTTCTAACACTCATTTAGTATTCTAATTTGTTTTCATAATTCTAATTTTAACAATTAGACCATACAGCACGATAAATTAGCTGGCTTCAGCACATGCATACGCATGAATAATCAGACTACATTTACAGAAAATAACTCTGCATGTTCTATATACATTTTGTCCTAACACTTTCAATCCGAGATATCACCTCATTGTCAGTCCGATAAAATGTGTGGCATTTGACAGAAATACCATTCTATGATTCTTCTATTGTCATTTTACCAGTTCATCTGATTTTACAAACTAACAAAAAAAAATATAGTACATCTTTAGAAATTTAAACTTGGCAAAACTGTAAATGTAAAGTTATGGTGACAAAGTTATGAGTATTTTCGGCTGCTGTTCCCACAAATGGCTCACATGTTGCGTGCACAAAATGGTAATGAGCATGCATAAATACTGGATTCGAACAATGGACCATACAAATATAACTGTGCTGCACGTTTGCCACTATTATATGCCTTCTGATCACACACAAGTATGAATATAATACAAAGACCGAACGTGACATCCGTGATTACCTTCTCATCACACACAAGTATGACAATAATAGAAAGACCAAACATGACATCCGTGATTACCTTCTCATCACACACAAGTATGACAATAATACATAGACTAAACATGACATCCATGATTACCTTCTGACAGCAGCAATGGTCTCTCTATTTTTAAACTTGCTGAACCTCTCGCAGTAATTCAGTGTTTTCATAAACACTTCTGACTGCTCTTGTTCTTCCTCTGCATTTTCGTTCTGCTGTTTCCTGGAGGAATTATTTAATTCTGTTTACACATGAAAGTTATCAAATCAACGATCTAATGTTCGGATTTGTGTAGAATTCAGTTTGAAAAGACACAGACATCTAATTCAAATATCACAGACAGATAAACAAAGATCTCATAGACAGAGAGACACACGAAGAGATCTATGTAAAGTACCACATACTGGATAACATGATCTTGTAGATGGAGACACAAAGATCTCATAGACAGAGAGACACACGAAGAGATCTATGTAAAGTACCACATACTGGATAACATGATCTTGTAGATGGAGACATAAACAAAGATCTCATAGACAGAGAGACACACGAAGAGATCTATGTAAAGTACCACATACTGGATAACATGATCTTGTAGATGGAGACACAAAGATCTCATAGACAGAGAGACACACGAAGAGATCTATGTAAAGTACCACATACTGGATAACATGATCTTGTAGATGGAGACATAAACAAAGATCTCATAGACAGAGAGACACACGAAGAGATCTATGTAAAGTACCACATACTGGATAACATGATCTTGTAGATGGAGACATAAACAAAGATCTCATAGACAGAGAGACACACGAAGAGATCTATGTAAAGTACCACATACTGGATAACATGATCTTGTAGATGGAGACACAAAGATCTCATAGACAGAGAGACACACGAAGAGATCTATGTAAAGTACCACATACTGGATAACATGATCTTGTAGATGGAGACATAAACAAAGATCTCATAGACAGAGAGACACACGAAGAGATCTATGTAAAGTACCACATACTGGATAACATGATCTTGTAGATGGAGACATAAACAAAGATCTCATAGACAGAGAGACACACGAAGAGATCTATGTAAAGTACCACATACTGGATAACATGATCTTGTAGATGGAGACATAAACAAAGATCTCATAGACAGAGAGACACACGAAGAGATCTATGTAAAGTACCACATACTGGATAACATGATCTTGTAGATGGAGACACAAAGATCTCATAGACAGAGAGACACACGAAGAGATCTATGTAAAGTACCACATACTGGATAACATGATCTTGTAGATGGAGACACAAAAATCTCATAGACAGAGAGACACACGAAGAGATCTATGTAAAGTACCACATACTGGATAACATGATCTTGTAGATGGAGACATAAACAAAGATCTCATAGACAGAGAGACACACGAAGAGATCTATGTAAAGTACCACATACTGGATAACATGATCTTGTAGATGGAGACACAGACAAAGATCTCATAGACAGAGAGACACACGAAGAGATCTATGTAAAGTACCACATACTGGATAACATGATCTTGTAGATGGAGACACAGACAAAGATCTCATAGACAGAGAGACACACGAAGAGATCTATGTAAAGTACCACATACTGGATAACATGATCTTGTAGATGGAGACACAGACAAAGATCTCATAGACAGAGAGACACACGAAGAGATCTATGTAAAGTACCACATACTGGATAACATGATCTTGTAGATGGAGACATAAACAAAGATCTCATAGACAGAGAGACACACGAAGAGATCTATGTAAAGTACCACATACTGGATAACATGATCTTGTAGATGGAGACACAAAGATCTCATAGACAGAGAGACACACGAAGAGATCTATGTAAAGTACCACATACTGGATAACATGATCTTGTAGATGGAGACACAAAGATCTCATAGACAGAGAGACACACGAAGAGATCTATGTAAAATACCACATACTGGATAACATGATCTTGTAGATGGAGACACAAAGATCTCATAGACAGAGAGACACACGAAGAGATCTATGTAAAGTACCACATACTGGATAACATGATCTTGTAGATGGAGACATAAACAAAGATCTCATAGACAGAGAGACACACGAAGAGATCTATGTAAAGTACCACATACTGGATAACATGATCTTGTAGATGGAGACACAGACAAAGATCTCATAGACAGAGAGACACACGAAGAGATCTATGTAAAGTACCACATACTGGATAACATGATCTTGTAGATGGAGACACAGACAACGATCTTCTTTGTGTTCCCTGACTGTTAACTCTGGTAGAATATTCTGGTTGTTTATCCACTTCTGGACTTTGGTTTTATTCCAGAACATGAGCTATTTGTGCACATATATTTTACAAATCTGGTTTATTTGTGTGCTGACAGTTTGTCCTACGCCTTTCAGGTAGATGCACCTCGACTTCTTATTGGGCAGTGGGGCTATTTTTTTTCTCTTCTAAAAGGCATCCAAGAACCCATAGGGGAATCACAGTCCCATAACATAATGTGCTGTTGGTCAACGACTGCTGTAAACTAAATGAACATTTCTTCCCAGCTCTGTCAGTTAAGGGCAATGGACTTGATGTGTGTGGTTTGTCATTCAGCCAAATTATGTTTCCAGGTCTTTCTTGGTCTGCCTTCTCTCTTCCCCTATCCTGGGACCTATGTGGGCAGTGCTGCCTTAATACATGGGCTGACACCTGAGGGCCCCAAGAGCATATGGGTCCCAGCACATTGGTTTGCCCAGGGGCCTATAAAATTGTTAAGACTGCTCTGTATGTGGGTTTAGACTATTATATGACTGATAACAAATCTCAGCCTATAATTTCACTTGTAATACATGCACAATATATTAGGTCATTAAGATAGCTCAAACACAAAACCTAAGCATCTCTTACAATTACAACCAGTATTAACCTAAACTTTAGTTCGACCCAAACCTACCTGTGATCCAGCAACATTTGAACCTCTGATATTAACAAAGTCTCTGCATTTTCAAATTCTGAAAGACAAGAAACATAACATAAGAAATGATAGTCATAAGTTAACAAGTGTCTTTTTATGACAGAGGTTCTCAACCTGTGGGTCATGACCCTTTTGTGGGTTGAACGACCCTTTTACAGGGGTCACCATAGACTATTCGGAAACATATTCACTGAAGTTAATGAAGTAGCAACAAAAATAATTGTATGGTTGAGGGGCACTACAACATGAGGAACTGTTTTAAAGGGTCACCGTATTAGGAAGGTTGACAGCCACTGCTTTAGGATGAACACATCTCAACAACAGCCTATTATTTCATCAGAAGAATCAAGCTGAGTATGTTGCCCTCCGACAGCTGTAGGTTAATTTCAGTCTGTAAGTTGGTTGTTGAATAAAATGTTTTCAGGGCTATCTTCCAAATAATGGTCCCAAATTATCGAGGCAGAAAATATACCCCAACAGGGCCTCAGTCATGTGTCAATTGCGCACTTCCGGCGACTTAAATTGTGCACTTCCGCCACAGCCGAGAGTATCCCCCATGCCATGTGGACTGGGGCTAAACTAGGTGGCTAGGACTCACGAGCAAATAAAATGAAGGCAGCTGCAGGAAATGCGGTAGCTGCTGCTCATGAGTCCTAGCCATCTAGTTTAGCACCAATCCACGCTGCGTGTGCGGGATACCCTCGGCGAAGGCGGCATAGTCCCTGGAAGTGCGCAACAGACACGTGACTGAGGCCCTGTTAGGGTATATTTTCCGCCTCGATAATTTGGGACCGTTATTCAGAAGATAGCCATTTTCAGAAACCCCTCCAGGTGAGAGGGGGTTGAGGGTGAATAGTATAGTGGGCCAAGCTACCCAGTTCATTCTCTAAAAGTATGCAACACTCTCGACGGTCAGCTAGTGTAGTCGTTCAGCGAATAATAGCCAGGGTTAAGGCAAGAGGTATCACGTTACTTTTTATCTTTAATCAATCACATTTCCTTTTTTTTTAAATCCACTTCTTAGAGCTTTCACCATTCTATTACACAGCATTGTGCATCAATACTAATACAGAAGAGCAACTGCAAACCTACAAGAATATAAATATATAATTATATATATAGTATATATATATATAGTGTTATGTTAACAAAATTTTTTTTTAAATAATTGTGTGTGTGTGTGTATGATACACTGTATTTAAAGAGAACCTGGACCCACCCCCCCCCACCCCCCGTCCCACCGCCGGGCGGCTTCGTCTTCCTGGCATTAAAACTCCAAAAAGACCTTGTCTCCAGCAGGTTAAATCATAAATTGATAGACCAACATTTATTGAATTTCATTAATTATTTCAATTTCAACGTCAACAAAACTGTCAACAGAACGGAGAGTTGACTGGGTCAAAGTTAAACAGTAAAAACAAAGTAATTGAATACTACTAATTCTAACAACTCGTATCAGTTATATATAAAGTGTTCAAACAAACAAACGTGCCTTTGGGAAACTGGAGCTCTGAAGCATCTTCCTCTTGTGTATCGTTTGTAGATGTCTGCGGCGCTTGGGCGGCCATGTTGATGTTTGTGGATCCCAACCAGGGTTGCCAGATAATTTAAAAAAAAAAACTCATTTTAAGCCAAACTACTACCCAAAATACGCCAGAAAAAACGCCAAAACAATATTACATTGTACTCACATCAAAAACTCTAAACTGAATTCCTGACCGTCATCCTCACTGGAACCAGTGGAAGACACAGCGTAAACCTTTTCCGATGTAAAATCTTCAAGCATTTTCTCAGATGGGGTGGTCTTTGCAGCTCATCTATAATGATGCCATATTTCTTGTTCCGAAAATCATAAATTGTTTGTTTTAGTATCCAGAAGCCATGAGTTGTTAATCCTTAGGCTCGGTATTATGGATATCGCAACCTTTCGGTCTTGATTTCATTGTAAATACCGTAAATCTGGGAGAAAATGTGGCTTTCCTGCCTACCCCCGGGATTGATCCCGGACCACAAGGAGTTCGTCACCCGGTCACATTGAAAGAGAAGCTATGGGGGACCGGTGGCGACCTTAAAAGCACAACCCTATTTGTGACCCAGACGGGACTCAATGTCTAGCATGACTGATGTCTGGCACTGGTAGCACAGAGTTGAAATAAATATGCTTTGAATAAGATGTCTCTTTGTGCTGATTGGGATTGTCTTATGCTGTAAGAGGAGGGCTAGCTGTCCCAACACTTGGTTTGCTTTACTGCATCTAATGTCAATTTCTTTATCCAATTTCCCATCTTCGGTAAATGTAGTTCCCAGATATTTAAACTCAGATGCCTGTTTAATGTCTTTGTATTCTATTGCTATGTTTAGATCTGTCTTCTTTTTTCCTATTGACATTACTTCTGTCTTTTCAGTGTTGATTCTCATATTATTTGTTTTACATTCTTCATTCATGGATGTTAGATGTTGTTGCAATTTCATGGCTGTATCTGCTATCAAGGCCTGGTCATCTGTAAAAGCCAGTAAAAACCCAAATATGCAAAAATATGCCAGTTCATTATCTTATGCCAGTTCAATTTCAAATATGCCAAATTTGTTGAATCTGGCATCTAGAATGCCAATACACCAACCCTGTTAGGAAGACAACAACATATACAATAAGAGATGACGCGAATCTCCGTTAGTACTACCAGGACATCACAACAAAGACAAACTGAAATAAGCATGTAACCTGTAGGTCTACATTGCTTCTAGTAAATCTGCGTGTTTCTAACGGAGGAACTATGGAGAAAATGTGAGCATGTTTTGTTTAGAAAGGCCAGGAAAACCCCAAATCATCATCATCATTAGGCGCATTTTCGACTGGCGTGGGCGATCTCATACTTACCAGAGTTCAAGGAAGAAGGAGAATTCTTGATTCAAGAGCAATCCCTAATGGTCTATGTGACACTGACCATAAAATAGTTGTGTTAACAGCAAAACATCTTACATTAAAGAAACACAGAAAGAAATTAAACAAAAACAAGGATCTCATCAAGATAGCAAATCTGAAACAGGAAGGAGTAAAATAACAGTTACAACAGAAAGTAGAGACAGCATTCAAACAACTTCCACATGTAGTTGGCAATATTGAGGAAGAATAGAGTACATATAAAAACACTATGCAGAAGAATTATGTGGAAAACGGAAGAGTGGAAACAGACGGGGAAATAACAAATATTCAACTTGGTGGTGCGAAGAAGTAAAAGAAGCAATTAAAAAGAAAAAAGACTCATATAAACAGTGGATAAAATCAAAGAAAGAAGAAGATTATATAAACTATAGACTGCAAAGGAGAGAAACCAACAGGAGTGTCAAGAAAGCAAAACAAGCATCCTGGGAACGTTTCGGTGAGTCATTAGCAGAAAATGAGAAAACAGCCAGCAGAAAATTTTTCAAAGTAGTTAAAAATATGCGGAAAAGAGATGAGAGCTACAATCCCACTGAAATAATTAATGATAAGACAGGAAGGCCATTGATAGATCCACCCGAGATAGCAGAAAGATGGAGGAAAAACTTCAATGAGCTCTTTAATCCTCTAGGAGATCATCAGGAAAGAACAACTGAAGAGCACAGAGCAACAGTGTTAGAACCACACATACTAATGGATGAAATAGAAAAAGTCATTAAACAGTCTCCCAAATATAAAGCACCAGGAGCTGATAGATTACCAACAGAAATAATTCAAGCAGCAGGTGAAAGCAGCATCAGATGGCTTCACAGAATATTCAATGCAGAATGGGTACAACAAACGGCCCCTATTGATTGGCAACATGCAATAGTTATACCATTGTGGAAGAACAAAGGAAGCAAACGAGAATGCGGTCAATATCGAGGCATCTCTTTTTTAAGCCATGTTGGCAAATTGTATGCCAAGATAATAGAAACAAGACTGAGACCAGTGATAAAACCCCAGCTGGCAGTAGAACAGATGGGATTTAGGAGAAATAGAAGCTGCACAGATGCAATCTTTACACTTTAACAGTTAATAGAAAAGAACATTGAATACAATAAGAACTTATTTGTGGCATTCGTAGACCAGGAGAAGGCATTTGACAGAGTCGACAGACAATTATTATGGAAAATAATGGCAAGATATGGAGTAAGCGAACACCTCATCGAAGTGTGCAAAAGTGTATACAGGGATTGTAGAAGTGTAGTTAGAATAAATCAGGGAACATCTCATCCTTTCACAGTGACATCTGGAGTAAGACAGGGGTGTGTCTTATCACCACTGCTGTTTATCACCTACATCGACAGTATATGCAAGAATGCCAAGCCCATGAATGAAGATCTTAGTAAGATCAACGAATTACTCTTTGCAGATGACCAGGCCTTGATAGCAGATACAGCCATGAAATTGCAACAACATCTAACATCCATGAATGAAGAATATAAAACAAATAATATGAGAATCAACACTGAAAAGACAGAAGTAATGTCAATAGGAAAAAAGAAGACAGATCTAAACATAGAAATAGAATACAAAGGCATTAAACAGGCATCTGAGTTTAAATATCTGGGAACTACATTTACCGAAGATGGGAAATTGGATAAAGAAATTGACATTAGATGCAGTAAAGCAAACCAAGTATTGGGACAGCTATACCCCCTCTTACAGCATAAGACAATCCCAATCAGCACAAAGAGACATCTTATTCAAAGCATATTTATTCCAACTCTGTGCTACCAGTGCCAGACATGGTCACTCACAACAAACCATAAAAGAAAATTAGTAACCACGGAAATGAGATGTCTGAGAAGGGCTGTAGGAGTGACCATAAGAGATAAGATCAGGAATGAGATCATAAGAGAACAAGTCGGCACAGAACCAATTCTGGATTACACACAAAGACAGCAAGTGAAATGGTTTGCACACTTAGAGAGAATGCCTAGTGACACCATACCATACAAAGATTACATTGAAAGAGAAGAAGGTTGTAGAGCACGGTGTAGACCAAGAACAAGATGGAAGGATAACATCAGAGAAACTCTACAACAGCACGATGTGCCTATGGTCGAGGCAACCAGAAGAGCTAGAAACAGAACCTTATATCTCCCTCGACACCCACAGCGGTAAAAGAGGAAGTGAAGAAGAAGAAGAAGAAGAAGAAGAAGAAGAAGAAGAAGAAGAAGAAGAAGAAGAAGAAGAAGAAGAAGAAGAAGAAGAAGAAGAAGAAGAAGAAGAAGAAGAAGAAGAAGAAGTGGGCGATCTCGCCTCTCCACAAACTGCGATCTCCTGCAGCATGTATTAGTTCGTGTGCTGACACACCTCCATGCCATGCAAAAAGATTGTCAAAAATGTTCTCTTGTTGTCTTCCTCCATCCCTCCTTCCACAGATCTTTCCAGTGGTACCAACTTGTTTCATTTTCCCTCTTCTTATAACATGGCCGAAGAATGAGGACTGTCTCCTTCTGATGTCTGTGATTAGTTTTTGTCTTCAGGCTACCGCCAGCTCATTTATCTTTATTTCGCCCAATTTCACATACGCCAAATTTGTGAAATCTGGCGTCAAATACGCCAGTATGGCAACCCTGATCCCAACCAAGATGGCTGCCGGATGTCGAAGTCTTGAATGCTCATCATGTGTCGTGCCGATAAGTATATGCGGTTATGTTTTTCCTTCCACACGAACACTAGTATCCCGGATCAAGTCAGCGTTCTGGATTATAAGTTATGAATTGAATTGACTTCACAACACTCCGGAGAAACCCATAGGTGCTCAGATTCCCCCATCAGCATATTCATAAGCGTCGCATGGTTAAATAGTGATATGTTCTAGCTGACAAGACTTCTTGTGCGTCCGGTGTGCCTCTATGCTTGGCTGTGCCGATCTGTACTCCCAGTTCTCGTATTTTCATCAGTTAGGTGGACACGTTACTTAAAAATCCATGGACGCTGTTTCCTTGGCTCAAAATTTCTTGTTTTCTGTTAAAATGCTAATTGATTCTTCTGTACATGCTGTTGACTATTATGATTAGGCAGGAAACTGGGTTGGGCAAAACGGCGAATCTCTAACGTGACCAAGATTGCGTGACCAAGGAGTTAAGCTTGGCGAAGCACGCGTGTACCGCCTATCGTGAAGTGAGCAGCCAACCCTACACGATGGACGAGTCGTGACTCTGATTCCCTACGCGGAGAGTCAAATTTCAAACTTAAACCCGTCCGGAAGGGTATATAGTCCCTTATATTGATATATATACCTAAATCTGGTGAAATATTCATTTATAGACCCTCTAGTTGCTTTGATAAATCTTCATTTTCAAACTTGCAACTGAAGGTTGAAGATTTCTGGTATTTAATTCAGAAATTCATGTAAGCTGGTTTACTCCTAAGGCATGAATACAGGGGACTTCTTTCCTAGAGACGCTAAGTTTGGTTTTGAGAAGGCATTCTTTCGCCTGATCCCAAAGTGTCAAGACGTGTATACAGTCCATGTAGAAATTGGCACATTCAAAGTTCTAGTTCTATCTTGGAAGAATTCCTAAACTTGGGTAAGTTGATTATAGTTTACGAGTGCCATAGTATATTTTTTAA